TGGTCATTATCAAGACTATGGCTGTGATACATATAATTTAGGTCAATATATACAAGGTCAAGGTCACTAAAGATGATGAAATATCCAGATTTTGTCCGGAGAATATCTCCTACACGCATGGAGGGATTTTAATGAAATTTCATAGAAATGTTCACCATTATGAGAAGCCATGTCACGCACATGAACTAGGTCTCTAGGTCAAAGTCAAGGTCACACTTAGAGCTCATTGAAAAACGCTTGTCCGGAGCAAAACTTCCACATGCATAGAGGATTTCAATATAACTTGGCACAAATGTTCACCATTGTGAGGCGGAGTGTCGCGCACAAAATTCAGGTCCCTGCAGCCAAGGTCAAGGTCACACAAAGAGGTCAAAGTTTAGATAAAAATATGAAGATGTGTATAGGGACGATTTAATCATCATTTATTGAGGGATTGTAACACAAATGGTCATTATCATGACTACGGCTGTGACACATGTACTTTAGGTCAATATATGCAAGGTCAAGGTCACTAAAGATGGTGAAATATCCAGATTTTGTCCGGAGCATATCTCCTACATGTATGGAAGAATTTTTATAATACTTTATGGAAATGTTCACCACCATGATATGTATTGCTCCATGCATGATCCAGGTCTCCAGATCAAAGGTCAAGGTCACACTTAGAGCTCATTGAAAAACGCTTGTCCGGAGCAAAACTTCTACATTCATAGGGGGATTTCAATATAACTTGGCACAAATGTTTACCATTGTGAGGCTGAGTGTCGCACGCAAAATTCAGATCCCTGCGACCAAAGTCAAGGTTACACATAGAGGTCAAAGTTCAGATAAAAATTTGAAGATGTGTATAGGGACTATTTAGTCATCATTTATTGATGGATTGTAGCACAAATGGTAACTATCATGACTATAGGTGTGACACATTTAATTTAGGTTAATGTTTGCAAGGTCAAGGTCACTGGAGATGATTAAATATCCAGATGTTGTCCGGAGCATATTTTCTACATGCATGAAGGAATTTTAATGTTACTTTATAGAATTGTTCACCACCATGAGACGTAGTGCCCTGCACATGAACCAAGTCTCTAGGTCAAAGGTGAAGGTCACAGTTAGAGCTCATAGAAAAACGCTTGTCTGGAGCAAAACTTCTACATGCATAGAGGGATTTCAATATAATTTAGCACAAATGTTCATCATTGTGAGGCTGAGTGCCGTGCATAAAATTCAGGTCCCTGCGACCAAGGTCAAGGTCACACATCCTGTGCATATCTTCCCTACTGATTTGTTTTAAGGTTCATTTAACAACACAGTGCCAAGAATAAAAACTTGCTTGCTAGATAACACTTATCCATAATGCCCCCATCTCCATCTAAAGCTTTCGTAAACGGGCGTATTTTGTGACTATGGCACCCTTGTTATCTATGTGGACAAAATAGAGCTTTGAAAAATATAGCCACACCATAAAAATAGCCAAAAGTGTTAACCATAATATAAAAACTGTCCTAAAAAATGGCCAGTGTGTTTGAAATGGAGCTAGATCTTTTTTTACATTACAAAACATTGTATCTAACATTCATGGGCATTTTAATGTCAAGGTAGAGTTAATGAAAAAGTCTAGTTGCTGATAAAAAAATTCACATCTACCAATTCAGCTTTTGTAACTCTACCTTTCTTTAACATTTAGTTCAGTAGTCATAATTGGCGCAGTCTTGGGTGTCTCTTTTGACATGAGTCCCCTTAAATCACGATTGATTTAGCCCTTTGGATGTCTCACTAGCATTTTACTAAGATTTCTTCACACAAAAGTCATTTGAATCATGGCCGCCCTAGGACTAGGGTCAGAAAATGTCCCTGTCCCAAAGACTAAATTATGCATTTAAGAATTCTGACGTTTTCGGGCAATGGATTACGCAGAAGCAATCATAGCCCTCTTGTATTTTCAATATATAATTTTGGTTCTTTTTAGTGTAAGAAGGTACTGTCTGTTCAAAACTTTTATTACTGGCTAGTAGTTTTACATAAAAGAGACATTACCTGTTCAACCCTTGTTTAGATTTTGATGAAACTCAAATATGAAAGGTCCTAATGTATAAACTGGAGATGTTGTACTTCATATAAGGATTATTATTTTTATACACTGCATATAGAACAGAAGTAACAATAAATGGATCTTCTCACATGGTAGTGAAAAAGACATAAATATACCTGTTAAAATGTATTATACTTTCGCTGATGTGATAAATAACACCTTACATAACTTGAGCTACAACTGCTTAATATACCTTTATCTAAATGTTTAAATGTATTTTAATGTAATGTTTATAGAATTAATTAATGCCAAGTGTAATTTACATCAGTCATTGTGTCGTTAGTGAAATGACTTTGTTTATTGCTGAACTAACCTATAAGTTAGTGTTGCTGTCACGTGAACTTATTAATGACTAAAAATGTGTTTGTTTTTTTATTTCAAGGGAAAGTATATGGTTGTGTTTGACCCTCTGGATGGGTCATCAAATATTGATTGCCTTGTGTCTATTGGTACAATATTTGGAATTTACAGATATGTAAGTTTATACAATTGTATTTTTTGCTGCATTTTTAATAATGTAAGTTTGTGTAGAATTGTAGGCCTTTAATTTGTGAGCTCAAATATATTTGTATGTTAGTGAGAGCTACCCTACTCATCTTGGTGTCAGCATGTGTCCCCCACCCCCACCAAAAAAGAAGAGAGGCATATAATTGTTGTAGTGTCCACCATCCATCTATCCATCTGTCCTTATGTCCATCCATCTTAACTGTGTGTCCAGTTAATAACTTTGTCATTTTACTGATGGATTTTAAAAGAATTTTGTGTAAATGTGTAGCACATTGGGATTTATATAATTTTTCACACATATTGGTGTAAGATGAGACATGATGTCATGCACTAGACAAAATTGTGATACTCAATTATCAAAGTTGCACTTAATTATAATCTGTTAAATTTTGTTCTAGACGAGGAATCTGGTATAAGAGGGGGAAGGGGCTTAAATGGATGGAAACATTGTAGTTAAGCATGATAAGATGGAATTTTATACGTAAGAACTGGGATACAGATCCATATTCCAGATAGGACCCAGTGTGTTTCATTGGCCTAAAACATATTGTTTTGCCAAGAAATTTGATGGTGAATTTTATAATAACCATTTTCTGCTCCATTATAATTTTACAAATAGAAAAATAAAATCATAATGGATTACTGTACATGTATTTTCTGAATGAACAGGAAGGTCAAGGCGAACCAAAAGAACAAGATGTCCTTTTGCCAGGTAACAAGCTAGTTTGTGCTGGATATGCCCTGTATGGAAGTGCTACAGCCATTGTTTTATCTACTGGAAATGGTGTCAACTCATTTATGTTAGATCCTGTAAGTTGAAGGCTTTACTACCTATCTTGTTAGGGTATATAACATTACTTATATCTTAGTTCTCATGTATTGACATTTTAATAGAGTTAAAGTTATATGCCTTTTTGTAGCTTTCTCAAAATAGAATATAGATACATGTATTGTAGAAATTGATATGTTTTCTACCTTGAATGAGTTTATCATTGTTATGGTACTTGGAATATTGAAAGGTAAGTCAAAAATGTTTGATTCATAAAAAAGTTTCACTGTTTCTTTATTCAACTCTGAATAGTACTTGATTTGTTAAATTTACAGTAGAAGATTCTGTGAAAATATTACAAATTGCTGTTGTCAACAGTTTTCGTAAATGACAGGATTGAAAGCCAAAATGTACTCAAGAAAGTCTGTCAGGGCTATTTAGACTCTAAAATAGCCAGAACTGTCACAATTGACCAATCATAACATTCCATGTGTCCTGGAAGCCTGGCAGGAATTTTCTTAAAATGGCAGCCATCTTGCCAGTAACAATTTGAAAAATGTAAATTAAAAATAGATAACACTTTCATAAAAAAAATACAACTTCAACTAATTCTTCTAATAATCTTGACAAAAAATATTCAAAGTTCTAGCATTGGAAAAATGAACTTTTAAGAATGAAGACTCCAAGTGCCAGGATTTGAATTTTCCCACCTGACAAACTTAGAGGTCATACTGGTCATCATGATCATTATTAAATACAGAAAAACTAGCTAAATATTTGGAAAGTTACTGAAGTGTTAGGTAAACATTAGGGTTATACTCTTTGTAAAATTGTAAGTATTTGTATATGTGAATGAAAATAAAGGCATTTGAATTTTTAAGTTTTGACTCAAGGTAGAAAAAACTCTTGTTGGCCATTTTAATGAAACAATAAACAAAGAAAATGTATCAATTATTTCTTGAAGAATAACGTCCTTACAGTGTCCTGTATAGTCCTAGAGCCTCAAAATGTCCAATATCATGGTATAGATATCTTAATAACAGATAATTATATAAACACATACAATATGTTTAAATGAGGCAAGTTCAGGAATCCTGAGACAAGTTAGTGTTAAGCATTCACTGAGCATTATCACCCCATTTGTCAATTGGATGTTCATATTAAAATAAAACAAAATTTATTTTAAAACAGATGTGTTCTACATTATCCAGGCCCTAAGTTGATAATCAAGCACTAAGAACACCTACTGACAACTCTTGTTAGGAATTATACTTTTGATTTGCAGGCTATTGGAGAATTTTTACTGACTCAGCGAAACCTAAAGATTCCAGCACGAGGAAAGATTTACTCTTTAAATGAAGGGTATGAGGCTAATTGGGATGAACCAACCAAGGAATATATTAAAAGCAAAAAGTACCCACCTGTAAGTGGTTATTTTATTGACAATTTAATGTTGTGTTAAGCTAAGAGAAATCATGCATAATTTAAAAAAAACAACATAGATGTGATGCAATCTTAAGCCTGTGAATTACCTGTGGAAGAAATTTTCTTAACATCATTTGGTTTATTGACATCATATTTGATGTCTTATGACGTGTAAGCATTTGTTTTTTATGCTGTGCATATATTGTGTAAAAATGCATTTGATAATGTGTCTGTAGTTCTTTATGTCCTCAACTACTCGTGTTCACTTGAAACATCACACATGTCATTTAAGTCATGACTGTTTGTCAGTTTTCAAGACCCCAAAATAATCTCACTGTTACTGTAGAAAACCAATCAATGATTTCACTAAGGTTCTAATTTTACTGTTACAGTGGTTTTTTAGCTCACCTGACCACGAAGTGGTCAAGGTGAGGTATAGTGATGGGGCTATGTCCGGCGTGCGTCGTCGTGCGTCGTGCGTCGTCAACAATTGGGTTGTTAACAGTCTAGCAGTCACAGTTTTGATTGGATCATCATCAAACTTTGTCAGAATGTTGTCTCAATGAAATACAGATCGAGTTCGAAGATGGGTAATCTCGGGTCAAAAACTAGGTCACAGGAGCTAAAAATAGAAAAAGTTTGTTAACACTCTAGAGGCTACAGTTTTCATCCAAATATTCTGGAAATTTGTCAGGAAAGTTGTTTTAATGATATCTAGGTCAAGTTCGAAGATGGGTCATATCCGGTCAAAAACTAGGTCACAGGAGCTAAAAATAGAAAAAGCTTGTTAACACTCTAACAATTGGGTTGTTAACAGTTTAGCAGTCACAGTTTTGATTGGATCATCATCAAACTTTGTCAGAATGTTTGTCTCAATGAAATACAGATCGAGTTCGAAGATGGGTTATCTCGGGTCAAAAACTAGGTCACAGGAGCTAAAAATAGAAAAAGCTTGTTAACACTCTAGAGTGTTAACAAGCTTTTTCTATTTTTAGCTCCTGTGACCTAGTTTTCATCCAAATATTCTGGAAATTTGTCAGGAAGGTTGTTTTAATGATATCTAGGTCAAGTTCGAAGATGGGTCATCTCCGGTCAAAAACTAGGTCACAGGAGCTAAAAATAGAAAAAGCTTGTTAACACTCTAGAGGCTGCACTTTTCATCCAAATATTCTGGAGATTTGTCAGGAAGGTTGTTTTAATGATATCTAGGTCAAGTTCGAAGATGGGTCATCTCCGGTCAAAAACTAGGTCACAGGAGCTAAAATAGAAAAAGCTCGTTAACACTCTATCAATTGGGTTGTTAACAGTCTAGCAGACACAGTTTTGATTGGATCATCATCAAACTTTGTCAGAATGTTTGTCTCAATGAAATACAGATCGAGTTCAAGATGGGTTATCTCGGGTCAAAAACTAGATCACAGGAGCTAAAAATAGAAAAAGCTTGTTAACACCCTAGAGGCTGCAGTTTTCATCCAAATATTCTGGAAATTTGTCAGGAAGGTTGTTTTAATGATATCTAGGTCAAGTTCGAAGATGGGTCATCTCTGATCAAACACTAGGTCACAGGAGCTAAAATTAGAAAAAGTTTGTTAACACTCTAGTGGCTGCAGTTTTCATCCAAATATTCTGGAAATTTGTCAGGAAAGTTGTTTTGATGATTTCTAGGTCAAGTTCGAAGATGGGTCATCTCTGGTCAAAAACTAGGTCACAGGAGCTAAAAATAGAAAAAGCTTGTTAACACTCGAGAGGCTGCAGTTTTCATCCAAATATTCAGGAAATTTGTCAGGAAGGTTGTTTTGATGATATCTAGGTTAAGTTTGAAGATGGGTCATCTTAGGTCAAAAACTAGGTCACAGGAGCTAAAAATAGAAAAAGCTTGTTAACACTCTAGTGGCTGCAGTTTTTATCCAAATATTCTGGAAATTTGTCAGGAAGGTTGTTTAGATGATATCTAAGTTAAGTTCGAAGATGGGTCATCTCCGGTCAAAAACTAGGTCACAGGAGCTAAAAATAGAAAAAGTTTGTTAACACTCTAGGGGCTGCAGTTTTCATCCAAATATTCTGGAAATTTGTCAAGAATGTTGTTTTGATGATATCTAAGTCAAGTTTGAAGATGGGTCATGTCCGGTCAAAAACTAGGTCACAGGAGCTAAAAATAGAAAAGCTTGTTAACACTCTAGGGGCTGCAGTTTTCATCCAAATATTCTGGAAATTTGTCAGCAAAGTTGTTTTGATGATTTCTAGGTCAAGTTCGAAGATGGGTCATCTCTGGTCAAAAACTAGGTCACAGGAGCTAAAAATAGAAAAAGCTTGTTAACACTCGAGAGGCTGCAGTTTTCATCCAAATATTCAGGAAATTTGTCAGGAAGGTTGTTTTGATGATATCTAGGTCAAGTTTGAAGATGGGTCATCTCAGGTCAAAAACTAGGTCACAGGAGCTAAAAATAGAAAAAGCTTGTTAACACTCTAGTGGCTGCAGTTTTCATCCAAATATTCTGGAAATTTGTCAGGAAGGTTGTTTAGATGATATCTAAGTTAAGTTCGAAGATGGGTCATCTCCGGTCAAAAACTAGGTCACAGGAGCTAAAAATAGAAAAAGTTTGTTAACACTCTAGTGGCTGCAGTTTTCATCCAAATATTCTGGAAATTTGTCAAGAATGTTGTTTTGATGATATCTAAGTCAAGTTTGAAGATGGGTCATGTCCGGTCAAAAACTAGGTCACAGGAGCTAAAAATAGAAAAAGCTTGTTAACACTCTAGGGGCTGCAGTTTTCATCCAAATATTTTGGAAATTTGTCAGGAAGGTTGTTTTGATGATTTCTAGGTCAAGTTCGAAGATGGGTTATCTCCGGTCAAAAACTAGGTCACAGAAGCTAAAAATAGAAAAAGCTTGTTAACACTCTAGTGGCTGCAGTTTTGATTAAAATATTCTGGAAATTTGTCAGGAAGGTTGTTTTGATGATTTCTGGGTCAAGTTCGAAGATGGGTCATCTCAGGTCAAAAACTAGGTCACAGGAGCTAAAAATAGAAAAAGCTTGTTTACACTCTAGTGGCTGCAGTTTTGATTGAAATATTCTGGAAATTTGTCAGGAAGGTTGTTTTGATGATTTCTGGGTCAAGTGCTAAGATTGATCATGTCCGGTCAAAAACTAGGTCACAGGAGTTAAAAATAGAAAAATCTTTTTAACACTCTAGTGGCTGCAGTTTTGATCCAAATTTCCTGGAAATTGGTCAGGAAGGTTGTTTTGATGATTTCTAGGTCAAGTTTGAATATGGGTCGTGTCCGGTGTAAAATTAGGTCACATTGCCCAAATATGGAAAACTCTTTATAACACACTAGAGGTCACATGTTTGACTCAGTTGTCATCAAACTTGGCCATGATGCTTGTTTAAGACATTGCTTGGATGCGGTTGTGTCAGGTGAGCGATCCAGGGCCATCATGGCCCTCTTGTTTATTTTAGGAGGGTAAAAAAGTTTATGCAGGTAGATATATCGGGTCAATGGTAGCAGACGTACATAGAACATTGCTGTATGGAGGAATATTTATGTATCCTGCTACAAAAGATGCTCCTAAAGGCAAGGTAAACCTGAATCTATTTTTCAAGATCATATATTACGTGAAATAATATACTGAGGATCAGAAAAACTTAAAACCAAGAAAACTGTTGAAAATCTTATAAAGATTGACTGGGGCGTGCACTTAAAATGGAAAGCACTGAAAAATATAATTAAGATTTAGCTTGGAATTTGTACAAATTTGTACAGTAGGACTTCTATGTGTTGATTTTCTTGGTGAGAAGAAGTAAAAAGAACTTTTTAATGTGTCAAATTTTTTAAGTGGTCCATATAGAATAAATCCTAAAGATTTTACCATTAATAAGTCACAGCCCTTGAATTCTAATTTTAACACCTTTGATCTTGAAATATTTTTCACACCTTTTCTGGCCGCAATGATGATTGCAGATCAACTTGTATGATGGGTGTTAATCCCCCAGTCTTCGTATACGTTACTATGTTTGTAAATCTGTTTTGTTCTTCTGATGATGATTCAAATATAACATTGTGTGAAACTGTCCAAATTTGTTTCATTACTGATCACATGAAGACCTGAGGATGCATGATAATCATGTGGGATATATTTATTGTAATATGATAGTAATTGTCCTTTCCTTTTGTTATATCTTTTGACTTAAGTCCCTTCAACTTACCAAAGTTTTACTTTATTTAGTGCAATTTTAGACTGTTTAAGTGAAAAGTGTTTTAAGCACTTACAATTTTTGGTCATGTTGCATTATAAAAATAATAATTTTGGAAAATCAGAGTGGGAGATTGGTCTGAAATTTCGCAGTTTTAGACCTACATCAAATTTAATGGTTATAAAAATCTCAAAAAGATATATTTAGTCATGTCATGTCAGTAGAGTCCTTTAATAGGTGTGTCTAGGTCACAAAAATGCAAACTCTTTAAGCGGTGACCTTAAAACTGTGTTAAATGTTTAATGGACTGTACAAAAGAACTCTTAGATTTGGACATTAACTTTGTATCTTTATGACAAAATATGCCATTAAGTTTGTATTTTGTTGTACTTGACAAGATTACAAAAGATATCCAATTAAATAGTAATTATTTTCTGCTATGGCCGTACACAAGACAGGTCTGTATGATCAAATTTAAAATAAATGTCATCTAGTCACAGTTTTCTTTTAACAAAGGTAATACATGTACATGTATATAAAATTATTCTTAAACTTCTTCGGCTATTGGTCTAATACTAACATCGGTCATTGAATTTTATACCCGGTTTTTGGCTAAAAACCAACTGACTGGTTTAAACATGACACCACTGCCTTTTAAGGCCAGCATATAAAGAAACATACACATTTATCTCTTAAATAAAGAAGTAAGATACTTCTTCAACAAGCCTTTTATCATATACCATTTATATTTTATTGCTTTGTAAGTTAGAGGTATTGTAAAAACTAAAGTTTTACCTTCAATGTTACAAGTTTATTTGAAGCTGCAAAAAATGAATTGATTCCTTAAAATACCAAGTGAATTTTCATATCTCCATGACAACCTGTTTTCATTGTTGTTTTCTATTTAACAGTTGAGACTGCTGTATGAATCTAGCCCGATGTCTTACATCATAGAGCAGGCCGGTGGTCTGGCTACAACAGGTACACAACGCATCCTTGACCTTCAACCAACAAGTATACATGAACGATGTCCGGTCTATATGGGATCTAAAGATGATGTTCAAGATGTTATTGATACCTACAAAAAGCATGCAAAATAGACTCATCAATGTTTACAGTGAAAACTGTTTAAAAACTCATATTTTTTAAGAGTTTGTATGCTGTTGATTTTCTTTAAAATGATATACCCAAGTTAAGACTGGTAAACATTCAAGGATGTCTTCATTATGCGAGTTTATATGTGATGTTTTATGTATGCGAGTGTCATGTTTGTCAAATGTTAAAAATGTATGACATCTAATTTAATATATAAAATAGTATAGATGATAAGAGGGATTTTATGATGTCAGTTCCTGAAGTTAAGGTTGTAACAATGTAATATGCCTATTTTTGGTTGTTTTTTATCACATGTTTATGCATTACTTTTTTACCATCAAGTTAAACAAGAAAACCAACTCATGTACAATCAGTCTCTAGATCTTTCATATATACCATGATATTGATTTTGCACAGTCCATGTAAGAGGAGGTAAGTTTAATTATAACGTGCATGTAGTACAATATTATCCTTGCTCACCATCACATTTTCCTTTCACATATTTCTGAAGTAAGGAGCCTAGATTATCTTCCATTTTGTTCAAATTTAGACTCTGGTCTGATAATTGACTTACATCTGAGAGTGTTTACTTATATAAGGAAGTAATAGTGGTAAAAAAAGATGGATGAAATTTAAATCTATGAAAATATCATATTGTGCATTTAAAATTGGAAATACTTAAAAGTAGATCATTTTCTGTTATATTGTGTTTAAAAACATCAAGTTTTACATATAAAGAATCCCCCTCATTTGTTTATTTCAAGACATAGAAATAAACTTGATTCAAGTTTAATAACTTTGTCTACCATATTTATGAAGTGATCTCCCCTTTCGAATCTGAGTAAATGAACCTTTATTGCAAATTGGTTACTGTGGTATCTGTGTATAACAAACCTAAAACAGATTCTTGTGATGTGATGTACTTTATATGATTTATTGTTTGGTTCCTTAAAGTTGAAAAAATAACACCAAAACTTTTCAGAATGTTAGTTATACTTTATTGTATTTTGTATCAGGCAAAATAATCGATGTTTTAGCATTCCAATCTTTATCTTCAACCAGACAGTTTAATATTGATCATTTTAATTATTTGCTATCACATGATATAGGTTACTCATGATGTTATTGAATTAATATCTTAATTTCAGTCAACATTTTGTTAAAATTTTAGGTCCCTTAGGGAATCCTCATCAAATAAAATAATTTTTAACCAAGAGTTAAAACTTTTGTGTGACTGAAATTAAATTTGTTAAAATGTTGAAAACATTTGAAAGAAATTATATAAAAAGTGCTTGGTAGACTACTGCAATTTACAAGTTTTTGTCATTGTTTTTTATCCGATTTTGTGCCATACATGTATAATAAAATATGCTAATCAGAGGTTATTAATTTGTTTACTGTAAATATGATTTATGTCTCACAGAGAACTGAGAAAATTGTAATATTTTACATGAGCAAGTAGTACAAATGTTGATAATTACTCAGAGAAATGTTAGATATATGTCATATTCAACATAAACAAAATTTCTTGTATGTTTTATGCCTATTAACTAAGCAGTATTTTTTATGAGAGTTTTCATTGAACCTCAGGAAACAGATGCACATAGTCACAATGTCGGAACTTGAATGGCTGTGGGAACAAAAGTAATTATAGTTTATTGTCATAATTGTAGTGTTTATAATTTTAGTGATGATATTTGCCAAAGAAAACAAGACATATTTTGTGTGTGCAAATTTACACAATCATAAAAATTAATACACATGCATGCCAACAAGTTAAGCAAAGTTTTATCTCTCACATTGAGAAAGTGTTTCCAATGAAAAGTAAATAAAAATAAATTATCTTTGTAGGAATAAATAAATTATTTGAAGATATACTATGCAAACATACTGGTGTTGGTTAGTTATCAGGTATAAATACAATGGTAAAAAGTTACTGTTTCAGTCTTTTTTCTTAAACCAGTGTTCAACCAGCGACAAAAAAAAACATGTATTTTAGTCCTTGCGTAATATTGAGCTCACCTTGTAATCAGCTTTTGTCTGTTGTGTGTCAGTTTTGCCATAACATTTCTCATTTCCTGAATCACATTATCAACTGTGATGAAATGGTATATAATCAGTGAATGATCCTTTGCCAAAATTGAACATTTTATAAAAACAGCTGCCTGAAGAGCAAAGCATTCATCTTTTCTCAGTGCTGGATAGTAAACTGCACATTTTCTAAAAATGAATTCAAGGTCACAATGACCTTTCACCTTTTAATGTGAATATTGCACCTGGTCTGCCATCTGTCCATAATTTTGTGTCTGCTCTGTATATTTTGAACTGATGTTAGAAAATTGAAATTATTTGGCAGAAATGTTAACCATAATGCAAATTAGGTGTTTGCTTTTTATCTTTTGAAATGATAAATTGAATTACTCTGTAATAAGTCCAGATATAGTTACGGTTCTTGAGCACTGCACTTCCTCTCATTGTGCTTGAGCATTGTATGAAGTTGCATTGAATTCCAAAGTAACACAGGGCAATAACCATGTAATTAGTCCAAATAGAGTTGAGGGTATTGTGCACTGCACTTTATCTCACTGCGCTTGACCATTGTATGAAGTTGCATTGAATTCCAACCATTAGTTTTCAAGTAATGCACTGGACAAAAAAAGTAGCAAAGGGCAATAACTATGTAATTAGTCCAAACAGAGTTATAGTTCTTGGGCACTGCATTTCATTTCACTGCGCTTGGCCATTGTATGCAGTTGCATTGAATTCCAAGCATTAATTTTAAAGTTATGCACTGGACAATAAAAAGTAACAAAGAGCAATAACTCTAAAATGAGTCAAGAAAGAGTTATGGTTCTTTAGCAATGTGCTTCCTCTCAATACACAAGACCATGTACAAACATTTATTGAATTCCAAACAGTAGATTTCATGTTATGCTCTGCGAAAAAGAAAAGTAACAAAGGGCAATCACTCTATAATTACTCTGGAAAGAGTTATGGTTCTTGTGCACTGCACTTCCTCTTGCTGTGTTTTACCATTGTATGAAGATGCATTGAGTTTCAACCATTAGTTTTCAAGTTACGCACTGGACAAGATGTGCTTGACCATTGTATGAAGTTGTATTGAATTCTAACTAGTGTTTTTCAAGTTATGCTCCAGACAAGGAAAATGCAACAGAAAATTAACAAAGGTCTTTAACTCTATACTAACTTTCAATTATAGGTCAAGGTCATATTTGAATTATTCTATATCCCAGTTTTGCCATAAGTGTCCAAATTTCAATTAAATTTGTAAATGAATAAAGTAATGACAAACTAAGCTAAATTCAATACATTGTGATTTGTTATTGATAGACAAGATCATATATAGGTCAAGCTCACATTTAAATTACTCAACATCTTAGTTTCAACTAAACATAACTATATGCCAAAAATTGAAGCTATCAGATATAATTTATTTCAAACAAAGAAATTTTTCTAGAAATATGTAATAAAGTGTGCTCTCCTGCAGTTAAGAGAAGGGTACTTATATGAATAAAATTCAGTTAGCATGATTTTTTATTTGTAAAGACATACTGTGTGTACAAAAGAATTTTCATTCTTAAAACATAAATATCTATACATCAGTAATTCAGACACTGTTTCCAGACTAGCATTTATATTTCCATTCAAGATTTAGATTTAGAATCTTTATCAGTCAATGCTGTATCTTTAGTTATAGAATCTAGATCAGTCCCTTTCATTGCATTATCTTTTAATACATTAATTTCATCTACAGTAGCATCATCTAACTCTCCATCCACCTCACTGGCCTGAAGTTGTTTGTTGTTGGAAATATTGTTATAAATAGCCATTGCCTGCAAAAATACAAACAAAAATACATAGTAAAGATATTTCCTATAAGTTTCAACATTTTTGTGAAAGGCAAAGATGGAAAATTTAAACTGGTGAGCACATCAGAAGATGAAATTATGGAAAATATGAACACAATCCATTAATAAATAACAAAAGTATAGCAAATTATAAATTCATTCAAATGACCTTCAAGCTTAGGGTCACTGATTACTGAAGGTCATAATCAATTGGTCTCCTTGAAGGTTTTGTCCAAAGGATTGTTGAGTCCAAGTATAAAGACAATCCATATATAAATAACAATGTTATAGTCAATTACAGCATATCCAAGCAAAATTCAAACACTTGACCTTGCAGATCACAGATCAAGGTCATTTATGAGTCAACTCCAGTCTGGACTATTTAAAGGTCTCGTGTAAAGGGATGTTGTATCCAAGTATGAAGATAAGAAATAACAAATAATTGCCAATGTTAGTTTCTGGATTGGGACGACTATAGCAAAAGCTTGAAATTTTTCTACGAAAAAGTCGAGCTAAAATATTATGCCCGTCAATGTAGACACATTGACATGATATTGCAGCTAGTAACAACAATACATAATTATAATGACAAATTATAATGACACTAGGAACTTGCAAAGTTGAACAAGCAATTATCATAGTATTGCAAGCAATCCATAAGTCCCCTACCGGTTAGAACCCATCAACATTCTGAAGGGCCATTGGCCATTCACGAATGTTTCAATTTTTTCTATATTTTAAGTAAATTTGTTGAAAAAGTTCTTTAAAAGTGTTCACAGGAAACAGTTTTTATGAACAGACAGACAGACGGACTGAAGGACACTCTAAAGTTAATATTTGAAACATCCCTGTTACCAAAATATAACATTTTTAAAAGCAAAATTCTTAAAGAGGAGATAACTCTTGAATTAAAGATGCAATTTCATAAAAAAAAATCAGCTCTTTTTTACTAATCACAAATAATGTTATATTTGCCAACCAATATTTTTTCAAAATAGGGAGAACAGATAAGACATGCATAATCTCAAGACTGCCATCTACCCATATGTCAAGTTTCATAAAAATATTTCCAGTACTTTTTGAGTTATCACTGGATTCAGTGTATGTGTAAAATTTGCCATATTTTCAGTCTATGTGTTGTCATAGCAACCAGAATTTTCAACATAGGAAGAAAAGAAAAAGACGTGCATAATCTCCAGACTGCCATCTACCCATATTACAAGTTTCATAAAAATATTTCTATTACTTTTTGCGTTAACACAGGATCCAGTTTATGTGTAAAATTTGCCATATTTTCAGTCTATTTGTTGCCATAGCAACCAGAATTTTCAACATAGGAAGAAAAGAAAAAGACGTGCATAATCTCCAGACTGCCATCTACCCATATTTCAAGTTTCATAAAAATATTTCCAGTACTTTTTGCGTTATCACTGGATCCAGTTTATGTGTAAAATTTGCCATATTTTAAGCCTATTTGTTGCCATAGCAACCAGAATTTTCAACATAGGAAGAAAAGAAAAAGACGTGCATAATCTCCATACTGCCATCTACCCATATATCAAGTGTCATAAAAATATTTTCAGTACTTTTCAAGTTATCGCGGGATCCAGTTTTGTGGACGGACGGACTGACTGACGGACGGACTGACAGACAGACGGACAGACAGACAGACGGACGGAGGGTAAACCTAAAGTCCCCTCCGGTAAACCGGTAGGGGACTAAAAACAATCCATATTATACTAGTACCTTTAGGTACTAGTATAATTTTTATAAGTTATTTGGCTGGGGATCAAATTTGCGATGAATGACTACGAATGTACTGAAACATATGGTCCTTCATCAAATTGTCACAGACAACTTGTGTTGCACCTAGGAAAAATTATAAATCCTATCACAACTGAGCCAACATTTTGAATTCTTTGCGAAGATGACAGACTCGGTTTGAAATAAATCCTATAATTGTATATGATAAACATGATGTTTTAATGATGTTTCATTTACCTGAGTCACCATACTGCTAATGTCACCAGTGCTGTTTGGCAACAATACAGTGTTACCTTTCTTTGCCAGATTACCAAATGCTGCTACATACTGCTCAGCTATTTTCATGGATACTGCATTCATTCCATTCTGAGAAATATATACAAGATGATTGTTACTTTAAATTTTATTTAAACATGAATAATATTCCAGAATTACAAACATCTGTTGTGAATTATCAGACAGATTTTAAACTCACTTGAGCTCACTCCCTGAATTTATAGGGACACACCATCATTACAATACAACGTAATTTTCAAATATAAATACATCTACTAACAAGAGGGCTTTGATGGTCCTGGATCACTCACCTAAGTTACAATGCTACAAAAGGTCACATTTTTTTTCAATGTTAAGTCAGTAATAAGGTCACAATGGGTTTGTCATTTTTTACCCTACCTGCATAATGTATTTGAAATATTTGTAGAAGTCTGCTACAAAATGCTTCATGACAAATATCTAAGCTTTGGAATTGTGGGTTTTTTTTGCATTCAGTACAATAATCACATTCAAACGTTTGTAAAAAAAATATTTTCAGCATTTTAACTTCATGGTAATTAAAGCATTAATACTGTATACCAAACATCAAGTTGTACTTTCATCATGATAGGTGAGCCACTAAAGCATCATGTACAAACAAATTAACATAAAGAAATACCTTTTGTCTCAGAGCAGCCGCAATGACTTCAACTGAAGTTGCCTGTGCACTTGCTTTAGCTAGGATAGCCTGTGCTTCTCCTGTAAATCATGAAACTGTATGTTAAATCTTACAGTAGATTTCACTAATACAAAATTATACAAGAACTGTTGAAATATTCCTGGAAATTTGTTTTAGGAACATACTTTGCTTTGTTGAGAACAATCATATTTATTATGTACAATTTTTGATATACTACACATGACAGATTGCTGCTGAGTTTACATGGATAAAACAAGAAACATGGCAATGCCATGAAACCAGGTTTTCAATTATCACCATTGTAGATAAATATGTTGTATTTGAAATACAAATACAAGCAACAAACAATGTAACTATGTGCAATGTAAAACATGAATAATGTAGGAGGAATTGCGCACAGAAGAAGTGTTCACTATATATATTCTGTATAAGGAAAACAAGAACCGGTTGAACCGGGTGATGCTCCCCGAGAAGGTTCTGGACACAGGAAAGTATAAAAAAAAATGAACAAAGGGCAATAACTCCAAAATTACACCATGCTTTGTTTAGGTTCTTGAAGCGTTGCAGTTCTATCCAATTATTATATCTAGCTACCTACAAAGTTTCATGTTGATATCTCTAATAGTTTTAAAGTAATGTCCAGGACAAAAGTCAAAAAGTAAAAATAAACAAAGGGCAATTACTTCAAAATAAGGCAAGGCAGAGTAATGATTCTTAAGCACTGCACTTCCACCCAATGAGACCTATCTATCTACAAAGTTTCATGTTGATATCTCTTATAATTTTAGAATAATGTCCCAGACAAAGTTCAAAGTGTCAAAATGAACAAAGGGGAATAACTACAAAAGAAGGCAAGACAGTGTTACAGTTCTTGTGCACTGCAAACTTACTCAATGAGATCTATCTACCTACAAAGTTTCATGTTGATATCTCTTATACATTAAGAAATATGTCCCGGACAAAGTTCAAAGTGTAAAAAATAAACAAAGGGGGATAATTCAAAAATTAGGCAAGGCAGAGTTAAGGTTCTTGTTCACTGCACACCTACTCAATGAGATCTATATACCTACAAAGTTTCATGTTGATACCTCTTATACTTTTAGAGTTATGTCCCGGACAAAGTTCAAAGTGTAAAATAAACAAAGGGGGATAATTCAAAAATTAGACAAGGCAGAGTTACGGTTCTTGTGCACTGCATACCTTCTCAATGAGAACTATCTACCTACAAAGTTTCATGTTGATACCTCTTATAGTTTTAGAGTTATGTCCCGGACAAATTTCAAAGTGTAAAATAAACAAAGGGGGATAAACAAAGGGGGATAATTCAAAAATTAGGCAAGGCATAGTTACAGTTCTTGTGCACTGCACTCCTACTCAATGAGATCTATCTACCTACAAAGTTTCATGTTGATACCTCTTATACTTTTAGAGTTATGTCCTGGACAAAGTTCAAAGTGTAAAAAATAAACAAAGGGGGATAATTAAAAAATTAGGCAAGGCAGAGTTACGGTTCTTGTGCACTGCACTTCTACTCAATGAGATCTATCTACCTACAAAGTTTCATGTTGATACCTCTTATACTTTTAGAATTATGTCCCGGACAAAGTTCAAAGTGTAAAATAAACAAAGGGGGGTAATTCAAAAATTAGGCAAGGCAGAGTTACGGTTCTTGTGCACTGCACACCTACTCAATGAGAACTATCTACCTACAAAGTTTCATGTTGATACCTCTTATTCTTTTAGAGTTATGTCCCGGACAAAGTTCAAAGTGTAAAATAAACAAAGGGGGATAATTCAAAAATTAGGCAAGGCAGAGTTACGGTTCTTGTGCACTGCACACCTACTCAATGAGATCTATCTACCTACAAAGTTTCATGTTGATACCTCTTATACTTTTAGAGTTATGTCCCGGACAAAGTTCAAAGTGTAAAAATAAAAAATCATGTAAACAGGATTTTCAATGTTAATGTCACTGTGACCTTGACCTTGGAGCCAGCCATGTGGAACATGCGTTCTGCACGTCATCTTGATGTGGTAAACATTTGTCTGAAGTTTCATCAAAATTCTTCAAAGGGTTGAAGAGTTACAGAGCGGACAGGATTTTCAATGTTAATGTCACTGTGACCTTGACCTTGGAGCCAGCCATGCGGAACATGCGTTCTGCACGTCATCTTGATGTGGTAAACATTTGTCTGAAGTTTCATCAAAATTCTTCAAAGGGTTGAAGAGTTACAGAGCGGACACAATTTCGTTTGACGCCCGCCCGCCCATCCGCCCAGCCGCCCATCCGCCCATCCGCCCATCCGCCCGCCATACCCCAATCTAATAACCAGGATTTTCAAAATTGAAAACCTGGTTAATAAACTGGTATAATAATTAATTTGTTGAACCAGGTTTCACCCATGGAAGATTTCATGTTGCTCTAGAAGAGACTATGTTACATGATATATAACTATAAATCTCTATGCCATCTTGTTACAGAGAAAATTTTCAAATGTGTATCAATGTAAGATAAGTTGAATAAACAAACCCTGAGCCTGATTGATTTGTTCCAATTTGTTGGCCTCTGAGTTAAGAATTCTTGCTTGTTTCTTTCCTTGCGCTACATTTATGTCAGCTTCTTTTATACCTGGAATAGATTACAACAGCTTACAAATTCTGGACAAGATTTTTCTATTTATAGCTCTGACAGCCATTTTGTGCAGCAGAGTGGAACATGCCAGCAATATGCACAACAAAGGATGGTACTTATTACTTCTGTGATTCATTGAAATCCACCAGCAGTTTGTCCTGTGAAAGCTGGAAAAGAATTTTCTATATAGCTCTGGTGGCCATTTTGTCCAGCCAAGCAGAACGTGTAACAAGGGATTGTACTGATCACTCCTGTGAAGTTTCATTGAAATGCCACCAGCAATTTGACCTGTGAAAGCCGGACGAGATTTTGGCCATTTTGTGCAGCGAAGCAGAACATGCCGGCGATATGCAAAACTAGGGATGGTAATGATCACTCCTGTGAAGTTTCACTGAAATCCGGCCAGCAGTTTGATCTGAATGCAGACGGACAGATGGCAAGGCAGAAACAATATGTCTCCCAAAAGAGACATAATTCTTTAAAGAAAAAGTAGGTCATTGAGTCACAGGGCAGGACCATTTTTGACATTATGGTACTAAAGTTATGGAAGAAACTCTGGGCATTGTAGCTTCTGACAAGATTTTTTTAAAGATTTCATTTTTAATTCTATAAGATTTCATCTTTAAGTCTAATTTAGCTCAAGTGACTTACTTTTGCATCAGAATAAAATCATTAATTAATAACAGTTTGGTCAAAATCTATTAAATGGTTATGGAGCATGTATTGTTTAAAGATATTGTACCACTGTAAATTGAGTGATCCTAAAAGCTAACTCTAGCACCTTATGTCAGGTTTATTTGTTTGTTTTGTTGGATTTCAAATTACACAAACACTGTTAACATCACGTAGTGAATTTCCAACCTTAATGGTGCACTAAGAACTGATGAGATTCAAACCCATAACTGTGTTGTGGCCCCCTTGTGTCAGCACTTCAGTTTCTCAGATAATCCATATAATGAACCATAACTGTTTTGTAAATATAAACCCATTGTCCATTGAATGACATACTGTAGGAAATTTAATGATAAACATTGTAAAGGTAGTACATTTTTTCATTGCCTTCATATGATAAATAAGCAAACCTTCAGATTCTAGGATAGCAGCTCTCTTTTTTCTCTCAGCCTCTACCTGCATTTGCATAGCTTCTTGAACCTTTTTTGGTAACTCAATATTTTCTGTAAAGAGGTCAAACATCAATCGTTATAATGAAATAAAGATTGAGTGACTCAGTATCTGCTACACTACTTTATATTGAATGTTGAAAAATGATGAATGAATTTGTTAAATAAGTGCATCTACTTCATTCAATACTTACAATGCTTATAGTGTGATATACATGTACATGTATATATAAATTGAAGAACAAATAAACACTGTATGTAAGCACTTTACCAAAATCATTAAATCATAATTATGTTACAATACATATTGGCCATAACTCAATAATACACATTTGAATTTGGACAGTATTTATTTAGCATCATCTCCATTATGTTCATGAAAATGTAAACAACCAGTTTCTGTTATAAGTGTAAAAGACCTTAATTTTAATGGCACTTTGAAAGCATCATTTTCAGTTCATATGTAGTACATTCATGCAAAATTTTCATTAAAATTTGACCATCTAGTTCTGGAGATATAGATGTAGACATAGACTTACAGACTTATCACTCAATATATCCCCTCCTGATATCCATGTATACACATAGCTTAATCAATATCAAGATAAATCTAAATTACCCAACTTTAAAGGATGGATATTATCTTAACAAGATATGTTTGTAAAACATGTATGCCCCCTATCAGCAGCCAATTAGTCATGTGATAAGGTTATTATCCATGACTTCTGACCCAGTGATCAAACAATTAATAAGGGTTATCAAGTATCTACTGGTCATGACCTTGACCTTTGACCCCTTGACCCAAAACTCAATAGGGGTCATCTGCTGGTCACGACCAATCATCATACAAAGTTTGAAGTTCCTAGGCCTAAGCGTTTTTAGTTAATTGATCAGAAACCGTTTTTACCTACAAGGTTAATGTGACCTTGACCTTTGACCCCTTGACCCCAAAATCAATAGGGGTCATCTGCTGGTCATGACCAATCACCATGCCAAGTTTGAAGTTCCTAGGCCTAAGGGTTCTTTTATTATTGATCGGAAACCGTTTTAACATACAAGGTCAATGTGACCTTGACCTTTGACCCCAAAATCAATAGGGGCCATCTGCTGGTCATGACCAATCACCATGCCAAGTTTGAAGTTCCTAGGCCGAAGCGTTCTTTAGTTATTGATCAGAAACAGTTTTTACTTACAAGGTCAATGTGACCTTGACCTTTGACCCCTTGATCCCAAAATCAATAGGGGTAATCTGCTGGTCATGACCAATCACCATACCAAGTTTGAAGTTCCTAGGCCCAAGCGTTCTTAAGTTATTGATCAGAAACCGTTTTTACTTACAAGGTCAATGTGACCTTGACCTTTGACCCCTTGACCCAAAACTCAATAGGGGTAATCTGCTGGTCATGACCAATCACCATACCAAGTTTGAAGTTCCTAGGCCCAAGCGTTCTTAAGTTATTGATCAGAAACCGTTTTTACTTACAAGGTCAATGTGACCTTGACCTTTGACCCCTTGACCCAAAACTCAATAGGGGTCATCTGCTGGTCACGACCAGTCATCATACAAAGTTTGAAGTTCCTAGGCCTAAGCGTTTTTAGTTAATTGATCAGAAACCGTTTTTACCTACAAGGTCAATGTGACCTTGACCTTTGACCCCTTGACCCCAAAATCAATAGGTCATCTGCTGGTCATGATCAATCACCATACCAAGTTTGAAGTTCCTAGGCCTAAGGGTTCTTAAGTTATTGATAGGAAAGCATTTTTACCTACAAGGTCAATGTGACCTTGCCCTTTGACCCCTTAACCCCAAAATCAATAGGGGTCATCTACTGATCATGACCAATCACCATACCAAGTTTGAAGTTCCTAGTCCTTAAGGTTCTTTAGTTATTGATCGGAAACCGTTTTTGCTTACAAGGTCAATGTGACCTTGACCTTTGACCCCTTGACCCCAAAATCAATAGGGGTCATCTGCTGGTCATGACCAATCACCATACCAAGTTTGAAGTTCCTAGGCCTAAGGGTTCTTTAGTTATCACTCGGAAACCATTTGGTCTACGGACCGACGGACCTACAGACCAACGGACCGACAAGTGCAAAGCAATATACCCACTTTTCTTCGAAATGGGGGCATAATAAATAATTGCTAGTAAGGCCCCCGTGACATAATACATTTTTGGTAAAGTTGATTTTCTTTTGATCTTTCGAAAGAACAAAGTGGGGATACAATGCAGAAAATATGTGCCGACTCCCTTGCAATGAGCCCTGAACATTATTTATTTGTACATGAATTAAATAGAAAGTAAGTCATCATTTGGCAACTCGAATACATGGTAAAGCATAGTACATAAAAGTACCACAGTTTAAACGGTATCGTTTCAGTTTTTAGCAATCGTGTCAACATTTACAAAAATTGTAAACGTGGGAGCCTTAATTGCTAGCATTATAGACATAGTGCTATGAAGATGAGTATTTCATTTCATTTGTATAAAAGAAGAGTAATTTAAATAACAATTTTTAAACAAAAAAGTTCCCAGTTAAGAGTAGGAATATTGTTGGTGCCAGATTAAGAAACATAAATGTTGAATGTGATGTGGCAAATTACTTTAAGGAACAACTATGGAACAACTATATCATAGATAAGGTAAAAGTAAGTCTTATCTACTTACTTATTTCATATCGAAGACAGTTAATACCCCACGCATCTGCTGCTTTATTCAAGGTTTCTGTAAGAAAATTATAAATATTTATTACATGCTTTTCAGTGGTTTATAGAAATATATCAGTAAAATAATTATATAAAACTGAAATTTCACTGTTTGAAAATATGTGAAAATATCAATTTGATATTTTTCACTGTTTTGAATTTAAGCCCCTTATGTTGTTTCAGTGATATACCAGCGTGAACAGTACTGGAAACCAACTTAATGATGTGACATTGTTAATGATGTCACCTTCTTTTATTATTTGGCACGCTTTTCATTTACCGGTAGTATTAGTTTAAATGTCCTTTTAAACATTTTTTTTTGCATATTATAAAAGAAAATTTGTTACGTTTAGTGTAAGATCGAAATATATTTCACCTTGTGAACACCAAAAGTTCTTGTATTATAGTTTGGGGACCTTTCTGTTGAAAATGTGTCAGAGTTAAATCGTATACATATACATGCACAGTGCATTAACTGGACTGCAGGTATTAGTTACCCGCACTCCAGAGCATGCCCATCGATTGGCTCATTTTTGGTGGGCTTTACTTATTGTGACAGCAGAGAAAGGGAAAGCGACAGAAATATCATATTCAGATGCTCGTTCATTGGTTTCTTTTTTGGGGGATTTCATATTGTGACAACAGGGAATGTGTTTTATGTTTGAATATGATACAAGAGAGAAAGAACATCAAAACACTCGGCAATCTGATTAATACTCGTACAAATCAGCTAGCCTCGTGTTTCGAAGTTATTTCTATTACATATTTCACTTGTGGCTACGCCACTTGTGAAACATACCTTTTGGTGCTCACTCAGTGAAATATACTCTGATCTTACACAGAACTAAACAAAACTAAACAAATATCCTCTATATACTTATTGGTCTTATGCTATTGAAATAAATTTGCCAGGTAGAACATAACATTAAACTGACCATGTGTTAGAATATAATTTCTTTTTGATATTACTCATATAATTTCAAATTTGCTGTTCAAATTCTGTATACTTACCTACAATATATATGTTGAGAGCATCTCTCTCTTTAAAGACTGTGTCTAGTGGTATTTTACCGATCTCGGATCTCATTGTAGTCTGTGCCAGCTGAGTTATAGCAAATTCTGGATCTTCAACACCATAACTAGTCTGTCATAATAAAAGTATAATGGGTCACTTATCAACTATAATAATGTGCAATCATCAACACTAAACTTAAATTGTGACTTTCTGCACTGCCCTTAAATATCTCAAGTGGACCATTACATGGTAGTAGGTGGGGCGTGGCATATTGGTAAGATTTGTTTCAATCTGAGAAGGAAGTTTTTCCCTCTTTGTGACTCTTTTCAATGTTCAAATATCTATAGCTCCCCTTATTACATCTTTTTTTCAAGTTAAACATTTGCTTAAATTTATCATATTCTGGAGAACTATTAACATAATTATCATGGATCCCAAGCTGGCCCGAACTTTCTTCATGGGGTAATGATTTATATACCTTTGCAGAGGACAAGGTAATGCTACATGCCAAATTATCTAAGCTCTAAGCAAAGTAATTTTACTCAAGAAGATTTAAATTCCAATATTGAACTATGTACACTAAGTGACTCGCAGCGCACTGTCTATTTTACTCTCTTTCTCGTGATTTATAAAAATGTTGCAGGGATTTGGAAAGTAATGCAACATGTGACAAAGTCATATTATAATGCTTTCAGTCACATGAATAGTCCCAAAAATATGACATTAGGTCGCATGATTTAACAACAAAACAATCCGAAAAAGAGCATTTATTGAAGTAGCATTTTATAAGTATTTAAAAATATTTTGCTGTCAGCCTAAAACCCATGCATTCAAATTTCAATAAAACTGTGTTTGTACAGGTTAGGCTCAAGTTCTCACCATAAAAGCAAGTGATCCATGCATAAAACCTATTTTCACCTTATAACTAGCTGTTTTGGTGATGTAAATTGTGTGCTCATTGTTTCATTTTATGCATGTGCTCATTAGAAATCATAGGCTATTTTGTTACTATATATAGTAACAAGTGTATTAATGGGCAATACTACAAGCTAAATATCTAAGCTCTATGACATTAATTCAGAGAATAAATTTAAATGCGTATTTCTATAATATAATTCTATTATTGACCCCACTGGCCATTACCGACCCTGAGAGCATAATGTGTATTACTTTTTAGAAGACAACAATGTGTTGCTACATGTAAAAGGCCTAAGCTCTTGGAATTGTAGTGTCTAAGGCCATGTACTTTCTGAGGAGAAGGTTTTATGAAAGTATTTTCTATACAAGTAAGGGTAATAAATAACACAGCCATATTTGTCCCTAGGGAAATAATATATTTAACATCTGTAGACACTTGCGCTTTAAAACCCCATTTTAGATTCTATGATCCAGATACATGTATGTTTATGAGACAAATGTTGGTAGAATTGTATTAGAGGAATATGCCCAATAAGTTATACAGACATGCAATTCTTTTAAAAAGATGTTCAAGTCTACTTCAATAATGCACGTATTTAATCAATTTTAATATTCATATAAATGCAAATTTTGATTAGTGTCTTACATACCTTGTAGGGGTCAGTAACTTTTACATACAGAACACCATCTATTTTCAATGTCACATTGTCTGAAAATAGAAAGAAACAGAAAACAACTAATTAGTGACAAGTAAATCTATGTTTGTAAGCCTGTATATTTTTCTTCTTCTATTTTCCACATATCAAACAAGCCACTATGCTTTTTTTAAAAGGCAATACAGTAAGACCACTTAATTTCAAATGTAAATGTAAAATTCGAAATTGGGGGCACACGAAGTTCGAATGTGTTTTTGTTTGTTTACTAACTAAAAGAACACTTCATTACATTAATGAACTGTTGATTCACTCAGTATTACTTTAAAAAAAAACATAGGCACAATATTTTGACAGGAAATATGAAATTTGGGAGCCCAAATTAATTCCCAAATAAAACTGTTTTTTTTTTACTTAAAAACCTAAAAACAAAAATTTTTCACCCTTGGGATTTTTCCTCATTCTAAAATTTTAAAACATTTGCTTTTTTCGCTTTTTAAGTTTTATGTCCCATTGGGCCAAGAAACTTTAAGAATGACACTTATGCCACTAGTTATGCTGACAAATAAGCCAACATTTTCTTTCCTGTTTTCTTTGGTACTGTATGTGATAAGACATTACTAAAAAAATGTACAAGTTAGGCTAACATTTCAATATGTTTTTGTCATAATTATGATGCTCAAGTTGGTTTTTTCTTAAACCTACATGTATATCTAATGAGTCAAGTTTTTTATGCTTTGTGTTTGATATCTTGCGGCTAATTTTTTAATTGCAACCGTGCAAAGGAAACACAAACAAGAGCACCGCTAGGCGGAGCATTATATGCCCGAAAGTGTTTTTTTTTCTTTACTAAGGATGAAGCATTTGTAAGACATTACATAAATTAAATAAAGTATTACCTCCTTCAAATAGCAATCCTCCTATAAAGTTTGAATATTGTGGGCCAAATGGAACTTCAGTTATGCTCTGGAAACTGTTTTTAGTTTTGAGGTAATAGCTACCTTGAACTTTGACCGTGTGACCCCAAAATCAATAGGGGTCTTCTACCCAATATGGACAATCATCCTATGAAGTTTCAACACTATGGGCCAAATAGAAAGTAAGTTATGTTCTGGAAACTTTTTTCAGTTTTAAAGTAATAGTGACCTTGACCATTGACCTTGTGACCCCAAAATCAATAGGGGTCTCCTACCCAATATGGACAATCATCATATGAAGTTTGAACACTGTCGGCCAAATGGAACTTAAGTTATGCTCCGGAAACTGTTTTCAGTTTTAAGGTCATAGTGACCTTGACCTTTGACCTTGTGACCCCAAATCAATAGGGGTCTTCTACCCAAAATGGACAATCATCCAATGAAGTTTGAACACTGTCGGCCAAATAGACCTTAAGTTATGCTCCGGAAACTGTTTTCAGTTTTAAGGTCATAGTGACCTTGACCTTTGACCTTGTGACCCCAAAATCAATAGGGGTCTTCTACCCAATATGGACAATCATCCTATGAAGTTTGAACACTGTGGGCCAAATGGAACTTAAGTTATGCTCCAGAAACTGTTTTCAGTTTAAGGGTCATAGTGACCTTGACCTTTGACCTTGTGACCCCAAAATCAATAGGGGTCTTCTACTCAATATGGACAATCATCCTATGAAGTTTGAATGTTGTGGGACAAATGGAACTTAAGTTATGCTCCGGAAACCAAATTGCTAACGGACGGACGGACAGACAGACGGACGGATAGACAGACGGACGGACGGACGCCCGGGGGTATAACATAATATACCCGAAATTCTTTCGGGCATAAAAAATGGTCGCTTAATAAATGGTCTAAGAGACAAGGCATGAGAAAAAAGGAAAAATTTGTTCATCAGGTTTTTGTTTCGTTTGAGGTTAGAAGTTTTTCTTATTGATTTATAAAACATATATGGGCATGTCCTTCACAACATAAGCATGGAAAAAGTTTTAAATAATGTAAACAGTTTATACCTGAAGTGATCGCATGCTGTTCCGGAACTTCTATTGCAATTTCTTTAAGAACTTGAACATATTTTATTGAATCTATCACTGGTATAAGAATGTTGAAGCCCTGAAAATGTACGATAAATCATCATACAAAAATTATTCTGCATCAGTCCTTATGTCTATGTTCACTATAGGTAACATAAATTAACATGTGCTTTTATAATGTTCAAATCTTATTAATACTGTTAAAATATGTATGTTAAATTGTTCTAATTATTTCTTTCCCATACAAAACATGTCAAGATAATATTTTATTTAAGGATTTAAAGTATATCCAAACAGAGCTATACCGGATTCAAAGTAGCATGATATTTCCCAAATCTTTCTACAACCCATGCTTCCTGTTGCGGTACAAATAGTATAACTGTGTTAAAAGGTCTGTCTCTACTTGTGGTTGAAAGTAATTGGTGCTGTTGGTAGCTTAAGTATAATGCTCTCTGAAAGTAAAGAAAAGTTATATTATAATCAGGCCTCGACATTAGCGGTGGTCCATTGGTCCGAGACCACCTGATTTTGGCAAGGACCACCTAATTTTACAGGCAACTGGTCCGTTAGACCACTTGAATTTTCCAAATGGTGCAGGGCTCATCTGGGAGAATGGTTATTTGGTCGAAAAACGTGTTCTATAATTGTTGTTTAAAACCATTTCTCCGATGTACAGGTATATGTTCATTCATCTCATTAGTTCAAAAAGATCTTAAGACATCCATAACTTTTTATTAACTCGCTAACAGTGTAGTTAAAAAAGTAGAAAATTATTTTAATAATTAAAGTATAAAATTCATTCAAATGTCTCTAGTACTGCATTGAATTTATAACATTGTATCACTATGGGATATCGGATAAACACATGAATAATGGTGCAAACAAAGGCAAAGGAAAAATTAAATATCTAGTAATCTTTGGCTACTTTTTTAAACGATCAGAGATCCATTTTTTTCTTATTTAAAGTACTTTAAAAGGTTATAAATACTTTGTCAAAAATAAATAAATTTCAACAAACAAGCATGTATAATAAATCTGTGAGGAAGATAAGCTCAATTATAATGTAGGAATTTTTCTGTTTATCATTAATATTTCATTGTTTCAAAGACATAACTTATTATAATAACTTAATAGTTTAATTAAAAATGTTAATCTATAAAAAGCAATTATTATTCTTATAAGATGTACCCGGAAACAGCAATGAGTATTTGAATAACAGTAAGGAAATAAGTCATTCACAAATGGTTTCACTATTCCCTAACTTAAGTTGCGGAAGAAGTCACATAACCGAAGTATGAGTACTGTCATGTATTTTTCAATGAGATAATAATTACTAAATAGGATTACAATTACTTACTATCTGATTTGATTGAAATAGAAAAAATACATGTTTTCTTCAGTTGTTATAAATCTAATAATAAATATGTCTCTGTCACCAATTTTAAGTGTAGTTCTTCTAAATCTGAAGTTTCCTTAAAAACAAATGAGTAAAAAAAAGATGGACCACCTGTGTTCGGAAAGGACCACCTGAATTTTGGATCCATTGTTCCGGCATACCACCTGCTGAAAAAGTTAGTGTCAAGACCTGATAATAAATTGGCCATAATTATAGCTCTGAGATCTATTTCTAGAACATGTCAAAAGTTTTGTTGAGGACCATAAGGTCAAGCTGCATGTCGAATATCTAGTCTAGGTGAGCTAAAAAGGGCATATTTTCATCAAAACTATACTTATTGCTGAATGTGACACCCAATGTCCTTAACAGAAGCTGACTTTGATAGTATACATGGAAAGGGTAATAACTTTGTCAAAGAAAAACACAATTTAAAAAGAAATTGCCTCTGGTGAAAATAAAGACAATATTATACATGTATGTACATCAATGCATTAAAAAATTTCAATTAAGTTTGAAAGAGGTACCGGTAAGTAGCTGTTGTGCTAGGTTTTTAGTTATATAAAGGTCATATGAGGACTCAGGGTATTTTCACCCTATCACTGACACCAGAGGCAAATAGAAGAATCACATTTTCAATCCAAAATAGCCTCCTATCTCAAAAAAAGTCAAATTATTTTTGTTTAAAGCTTCAAACAAGTGATAGTTTATATGATCACAGACAAATAAAAACAAGGAAGTCATATGTTAGGTAGTTTTTTAACTTTTTTAAATTCCTTAAAATTTCCTAAAATGCCCAATGATTTTTTTTCAAATTATGCCTGCAGCCTTCTAAAATAGCTGGAAAAGTTCAGCTTTTCTGGTGAGGGCATAACTATCTATATAGGAGAGTATGTGACAGAATCCACATGATTTTGAAATAAAATCAGCCATTTATTCCTATTTGATTATACACTCATACATTTTACAATAAAATTTTTATTACTGTCAATTTCCTGAGAAATACATGATTTCAACATTTGTTTTTTCTATTTTACTGGACTTTGTATCAGTGGCAATAGTATTCTACACTTTTGCCAAAATTTTCTTACATAACTCTCTATCTAGGGTTGGATATAGCCATGAAAAATGGTATTGCGATATACAGAGGATATTTGTTTAGTTTAGTGTAAGATCGAAATATATTTCACCTTGTGAACACCAAAAGTTCATATTTCACTAGTGGAAAATTACACTAAACTAAACAAATTTTCTTTATATTTTATGTTTTATTAAAATGACATTTAACCTAATACTTAATGAAAGCGTGCCAAATAAAACTACAACGTGACCTCATTTACGACGTCACATCATTAGGTTGGTTTCCAGTACTGTGCAAATTCACTGTTTTAAAAAGTGAAATTATCAGTTTTATATCACTGTTATGTTTCTATAAACCATCGAAAAACATGTAATAAATTGCAATATTTGATTTGAATATTGGGATATATTGCAATATATTGCAGTATCCATTAAAGTTGATATATACGATAAATAGCTTTTGTTAAAACATAATATGTTTTTATTTGAATGCATCAAAAAGAAAACCATGCAAAATCAAGAATTAAATTCACTTTCTCTACTTAAACAGATTTTAATTACATAAAATAAAGGTAAACTATTTAAATACAACTCAGAATAATCAATCAAACTTCTTTTTTAAGAAAACTTGATTTTACTAACAATCTAAAGCTCAGCAGCCAACATTTTTATACTTAATTTTCTTACGACATCAGTTCATTAAACTAATTTAGGAACCATTAGGTAATAGCCAAAATCAGCAACAAGAAGCAGCAGCACAGACTTAAAGACAAGTCTAAGAGGATTTCTCAGGTAATCTCTAATATAATATGAGATTTTACAAGTTAATTATTTGAATTTATTCAACTATCAGACAAAGAAGCATTGAAATATTCTTATTTTATCACATTAACATTAAGTGGGGTATCAACTATATTAAAGAGCAAGATTATTCTAATATGTCAGCAGTTTATACTGTGCAACTATACAATCAGAAACCAGTCTATAACCAGAACTTATATCAAAATAACACATCAAATTATCCCGAAACAACCATTGTTCAATCACAACCTAAATTCGAACACATTGTAAATTCAGCAGCGCTGATGTCATGTCAGACTAAATTGCATTAAGTCACATGTTGTATTAACTTCAACTCCTGCAAAAATGTCAATCAATAATAGATACACATTTGAAAAAAATCGATAATTTTGATTTATTATTTTAATGTCTTTGAATTATGAAAATTCACCCAAAACGTACACAAAAACAGGTGGCAATGTCTAACACTAAGCTGTTGTTACATAATGGACACATTCCATAGCAGTGATGACAAAAATGGTTAGGAAAAAAATCATGCAAACGACATTTTTAAACAGGACACAACATCTTTGTATGAACAGAACATTTTATTGAAATCATTTTAACAGATATAAAAGTGAATTATATACAATAAATAAGGAGTATATATTGATATATCTATGTATCGCTGATGTTTGTCATCTGATATCGATGTATCATCAATATTTTTACTTTGCAATGAATCAATGACAGCTCTTAATTAAATGTCAGATGCTATCAGAAAAACAACAAGAGCCATGTTAGCATGGCCATCCCCCGCCAAATGTGTTTGCTCATTGTAAGAATGTATATGTAGTAGAGCAGAATAATTCAATCTAAAGAGGTCTTTTGGTAATGAAAACTGATGGCTGAAGTGATTTCAGATTTGAAACCTATGTGAATACTGATGGCTGAAAATAACAAAGGGCAATAACTAAAAAATTATGCAGGGTAGAGTTATCATTCTTGTGTGCTGCACTCCTCCTCAATATGATCTATCCACCTATGAAGTTTCAAGTTGATACCTCTAACACTTTTTGAGATAAGCTCCGGACAAAAAGTATGAAAAATAACAAAGGGCAATAACTCAAAAATTATAAAGGGTAGAGTTATCATTCTTGCGCACAGCATTCCTCCTCAATAAGATCTATCCACCTATGAAGTTTCATGTTGACATCTCAAAGACTTTTTGAGTTATGCTCCACTCAGGTGAAAAATTAAGTATGAAAAATAACAAAGGGCAATAACTCAAAAATTATGAAGGGTAGAGTTATCATTCTTGTGCACTGCACACCTCCTGAGTGAGATATATCCACCCATGAAGTTTCATGTTGATATCTCAAAGGCTTTTTGAGTTATGCTCTGGACAAAAATTAAGTTTGAAAAATAACAAAGGGCAATAACTCAAAAACTATGCAGGGTGGAGTTATCATTCTTGTGCACTGCACTCCTCCTCAATATGATCTATCCACCTATGAAGTTTCAAGTTGATACCTTAAATACTTTTTCAGATATGCTCTGACAAAAATGTCGGACAGAAGGATGGACGGACGGAAGGACGGAAGGACAGAGACTATTTCTATATCCACCGCCGGCTTTCGGTGGGGGATAATAAGAAACTGTTTGTTTTAAGTGAGACAATGTAAACTGTCCAACTTTAATAATCAATAATATCAAAATAGTCGCTTGTTTTAAATAGTGATAACATTTTTAAGTAAAACTTTTTATAAAGTACTGACTGCAGAGTTTTACCGTTTACCAAAAGTCTTAGGTGTATTTAAAATAATTATTTATATGATCTATGACTAAATATTCACCAGCCTCTACATGAGGGTCCTTATTAATAAAATCATAATTTGTAATAAAGTCTTTTCAAGTGATGACTGTAGAATAGATCCTTTGTAAGTGATACCATGTGGTAATATTATAAAATGGTGAAGATAATATGGCTGTGATGGTTGGATGCATTTATCATTTTTCATCCCAAATAGCGTACTAAGAAGTGACACCTTTATATGCCCTTTTTGTACACACTCTCTACCCTGGAATACAGCTCGATCGTCTGGGATCCATACCTCTAGAAAGACATTAACAGCTTGAGAAGGTCCATAAACAGTCCGCTAGGTTTATCACAGGCTACTACATCTCGAGCTCCCCCAGGTGTGTCACACAAATGCTTCGAAACCTGAAACTACCACCACTCCTGGACCAAAGGAAAGTAAACTGACTGACGATATTTTATAAGGTGGTTGGGGGGCTTGTGCCAGCCCTGCCTTATCAAGATTATTTGACGCCTGTCCAAGCAAATAAACGCAAAGTGAAAGCTAAGACTTACAGAAAACATTATTGAAAACCAATAAATCACTTTATATGCTTTAAATCTGTGCAGTGTGAAACTTTAAGTTAAAACCAATCATTTTTCCCTAGAACTATTTTCGATTGAATGTATTGATTGAGCTAGCTAAAGATACTTCAGCGAACAGGTTTTATAGTACTGCTAGACCTGTTCACTGAAGGCAATCCCGTATCGAAAGTCAACCAGAACTGTGACATATTTATGTCATGCTGTAATTCAATATATATGCGTGATCTGGACAAAAACTATTTTAATACAGGTAGTTAGATATATTTGGGACACTTCAGTCTATCTATTTGAACAAAGAATGTTAGATTGATGAAATAATGCCTCAAAGTTTATCAGTGGGTTCAGATTTCATAAAATTCGCCGCCATTGCTGCCCTTATAATCACGTGACTAGGGAGAAGTTAGGTTCGGGTAACCTTTGCATGACATTTGGTGACCCGTGACCCAAATGCTATGCTTTGCAATTATGAATAACGGTGTATTTATTTAATAACAGACATTGTACCAAAAACATGTTGGATTTATATTGTTTTGATTGATGATTCATGAACTATTTGTTTGTTTTTATTTAAAATCGTACACTTACTAAAAATAGTGTATGGTCCGTTACTAAAAAAAAGATGCTAGAATTCCCAAAACTTGAAGTCCCGCGAGATTTCATTTGAATGCAGACTCCATATTGGTAAACATTCTCTACATATTTCCCTAACAAATAGTTAGGTACACAATGTCATTGAAGTATCATTTAAAAACAAAATATGAATTGATTCAAAATTGATTTGCTTATCAAATGGCATGTTTATTTGACCCAAATTTGATTAATATGGGTGATTTTAATAGGTTTTCATGTACTGCAAAGAACTGCCAAAAGTCTGGTAGCCTTTGCAAATAGGGTTGACCCATAACTTTACTGTCGCACAACGTGAAAATAAAAGCGACATATAAAGTTATGGAAGCCAGATCTAACTAGTATTGAGCAATAGTGTTGCACAAGCTCAGATAGTATACGTTCTCAAATCAGCCTTATTAGGAATAAATCATCTGTCCCGTTCCTTACATGCTGATAGGTCCTGCAATGTATCATCCAGATCTAGAATGTGCATATATGATGTGATATAATTTAAGTAAGATACCCCACCCACTTTTCAACACAGGAACTTTCTGAAATTTCAGACATATTTCATTGTAAACAGATAAAGAAAATGTTGTCAACTATCTATTAGCTTACCCGACATTTCAATAATGACGTTTGTCTGAAAGAGCGCATCATTTTAGGTTCTTTCAATCTCTTGTTTTACAATTTAATGATGAAAACATGCAAAGAGATTTCGTAACCAATCCTAATGGACGCAAAACATTTCGACCCTGACAAAATCGTCCCGATAATCACTCGCCTATCTATTAAATTGTACCATGAATATTTCGGTACATATACTTTTAGATTCAGGAGACACTATATACATTGTATGTAACGCTCCATACAAATTTTATCACTTTTTAATTGTCTAATAAAGAAGCTGTATTTTATGAAAATTGATTGGAAAATAGTTTACATTATCTTGAAATTCAAAATATCGGCCAAACTTGACATGTCAGAATAATAATACGTGTTTGAAGATATGTTTGGAAATTTTGCACGGTTACATGTTATTTGGAAAACATGAATTTACTTAAAATACTATTGTTTTTTAAGGAATTGCTAAATGCTACATCACCGCAGGAATCACAAAATCTGGCTCCGTTAAATCAATGTCAAGTCATCAAACGGACTTACGATAAAAGGCAAGACGTACTACATATAGTTTACTTTCTGCCGGATTACACGGAGAAAATGGTATTGATCCTGAAACATCGTTACATCTGATAAGAACTTATGTATCTCTAGTCTTAATTATTATATGGATTAGAAGTTATAATCCCACTACAAAAGTATATAATACAATTGGAACTTTTTCAAAAGAAATTACTTAAACAAATATTATCGCTCCCACAAACTGTTGCAGATCCTGCTCCATATTTACTCTCTGGCTTTCTACCAGTCGAGGAACAATTACACATAAAAATCTTGAACTTCTTCAATAATATCTTTCTTCAGAAGGAAAGTAGTGTTGAGAAAAAACTTGCTAGAAGACACTAACAGTTAAAAGTATGAATAGCTCCAGTTGGTTCATTGAAGTTAAGAAACTATTTTGGAAATACGAACTTGGCGACATCAACCAAAACCTAGATCATCCTCCAAAGCAAAGTGTATGGAAGAAAACAGTATTTAAAACTGTCTCTTCTCAGTTTAAAGAGAAAGTAGATTAGTATAGCAAAATTATACAAATCGTTGCAATTCATGAATATAGAATATACTCCTGGAAAAGTCCACCCAAATATTACAACAAAAGGTAACTCTATGCGTGAAATAAATAGACTTCCTATCAAGTTAAAGCTACTTACATCAACATATATACTACAAAGTAATAGAGCAGCATTTAATCAAAATACAGTGAACCCTGTGTGTCAGCTATGCAATAGAGAATCAGAAGATATCGAACATTTCCTATTTAACTGTGAAATCCTTGCACCCCAGCGTAAATTAGTACTGTGTGAAATTAAAGAAGAGTACACAATATTAACTGGAGAAAACTATAATGACCTTTCTTCAAAACAACAAATTGGAATAATTCTAGACTGCACAAATATCCCGGGAATTAAGCCAGAAAATCTACACAAACTTGAATACCATTGCAGACGTCTCACCTACCTTCTTCATTCAGCAAGATACAAATCGTTACTGTTGCTCAAGCCAAAGAGGATAAGGAACAGTGGCAGAGCAATCAACACAGTGGTGCAACAAACATAAGTACATTTTTTTTAATATAGAAACAGTGTACATAATGTGAAAATACAGATATACTGCTTAACGTAGACGTCATCAGCCGAGTACCCATCTGTCACTGGATGTTTCGCCCCTTATCTCGGAACATCCTCAAGATGGTGGAGCAGGTAGTGTTGATCAGGTACTACCTCGTATACGATGGCTGCCAGGTTGGTTCATTGCGTCTTAGCCAGAGCCAACTGGACGCTCTCTCTGCAGCTTTGCCAAGAGCATGTGCTTCTGTATTCCGGGCTCCCCCTTTAATGCCCACTGCTCCCAGCATTTTCCAAACTGACTGTGATGGAAAGCCTCTGCAACCAACTTCTACTGGGAAGACCCATGTCTTCCATCCTCTTTCTTTACACGTGTCTTGGTATTTCCCCTTCTTGATCTCATGGGACTCTTCTACTCTCTCTTCCCAAGGAACAGTGAGTTCTACCATCACCATCAACTTCGGAGACCTTGACCACATTACTATATCTGGCCGGAGGGATGTGTGAGTAACTTCCTCTGGGAACTTTAACTTCTTCCCAAGGTCTACCAGCATTTCCCAGTTCTTTGAATCATGTAAAATGCCAGTACCTGTACTAACAGTTAAAAGTATGAATAGCTCCAGTTGGTTCATTGAAGTTAAGAAACTATTTTGGAAATACGAACTTGGCGACATCTACCAAAACCTAGATCATCCTCCAAAGCAAAGTGTATGGAAGAAAACAGTATTCAAAACTGTCTCTTCTCAGTTTAAAGAGAAAGTAGATTAGTATAGCAAAATTATACAAATCGTTGCAATTCATGAATATAGAATATACTCCTGGAAAAGTCCACCCAAATATTACAACAAAAGGTAACTCTATGCGTGAAATAAATAGACTTCCTATCAAGTTAAAGCTACTTACATCAACATATATACTACAAAGTAATAGAGCAGCATTTAATCAAAATACAGTGAACCCTGTGTGTCAGCTATGCAATAGAGAATCAGAAGATATCGAACATTTCCTATTTAACTGTGAAATCCTTGCACCCCAGCGTAAATTAGTACTGTGTGAAATTAAAGAAGAGTACACAATATTAACTGGAGAAAACTATAATGACCTTTCTTCAAAACAACAAATTGGAATAATTCTAGACTGCACAAATATCCCGGGAATTAAGCCAGAAAATCTACACAAACTTGAATACCATTGCAGACGTCTCACCTACCTTCTTCATTCAGCAAGATACAAATCGTTACTGTTGCTCAAGCCAAAGAGGATAAGGAACAGTGGCAGAGCAATCAACACAGTGGTGCAACAAACATAAGTACATTTTTTTATAGAAACAGTGTACATAATGTGAAAATACAGATATACTGCTTTAACGTAGACGTCATCAGCCGAGTACCCATCTGTCACTGGATGTTTCGCCCCTTATCTCGGAACATCCTCAAGATGGTGGGGCAGGTAGTGTTGATCAGGTACTACCTCGTATACGATGGCTGCCAGGTTGGTTCATTGCGTCTTAGCCAGAGCCAACTGGACGCTCTCTCTGCAGCTTTGCCAAGAGCATGTGCTTCTGTATTCCGGGCTCCCCCTTTAATGCCCACTGCTCCCAGCATTTTCCAAACTGACTGTGATGGAAAGCCTCTGCAACCAACTTCTACTGGGAAGACCCATGTCTTCCATCCTCTTTCTTTACACGTGTCTGCCAAGTCTTGGTATTTCCCCTTCTTGATCTCATGGGACTCTTCTACTCTCTCTTCCCAAGGAACAGTGAGTTCTACCATCACCATCAACTTCGGAGACCTTAACAACATTACTATATCTGGCCGGAGGGATGTGTGGGTAACTTCCTCTGGGAACTTTAACTTCTTCCCAAGGTCTACCAGCATTTCCCAGTTATTTGAATCATGTAAAATGCCAGTACCTGCTGATTTTGCAGACTTCTTATCCCCCTCTTTAACAAAGATTGTATATTATATATATCTACTGTGCGGTAATAACTGTGAATTAAAGTGCAGCTGTACATAGGTAGTGATATTCGGTGGGGGATTATCGTTATACTCTGTTGATTACACAGAGGTTCGCCTTTATAGGCGGTGAAGATGGACAACAACAACAACAACAACAACAATGGCGGGATGATTTCAATCGACACAAAAAATTCTTTTTAATTATATGGTTTCATGATATTTTTAATTTTCGGTCTGTTCCATTGAAGGCGATTATTTTCTTGCTTCACTAGTCAATAATTAAGAAAATTTATCACACATCCGTGCCGATTTTGCGACTCCATAAATATGGTACTGCACGGCCGTGCATATATTTTGACGTGACGTCATTAGCGTTATACAAACATAGTGTAAAGACGCGCTAAATGTTAGCGTTATACTATAGGCGCGTCAATGGAAAATGACTCTCCGGGACGGCGAGTGAAAATATGTGGCATTTTATCATGTTGAGTGAAAATATGTACCATATTTCACGAAAAACGAAAAAATAACCTTTTTATTTAATTTCATTATCAAAGAAAAAAATTTACGAACCCTATTGCTTGCTACGCAATTGCAACTGTACAGCGCGCAGTAATATATTATTGCGTCTTGTTTTGCACGCGATATTTGGCGCTACATTGTGACGTCACGTAAAGAACTCTTTAAACGTCTGTACATCGTTTATAACTGAATTAAAAATATTGGTGTTCGGATTTGTTTTCTTAGTTAGACCATTTTCTATCATTCTAAGTAGTTTTCAAAACAAATTCAACAAAAAGTTGTTTTGTATTTCTCAGATTTTTCAAACAAAATGGCGAAAGAAGTCCCTTAAAATAAATATGAGTTTCGACTCCGCCCACTTTCATATTTATATTTCATATTTATTTCTTAAAAAATATGAAATATATTTGACTGATATAGCACCATATTCCATGGGTAAAATTAAATAATAAGTAAATAGCGCGCGCCAAATAAATATACAACGTGACGTCATTTACGACGTCACGTTATTAAGTTGTTTTCCAGTTCTGTGTACGCTGGATTTTATTCAAAACTATCCTAGAGTCATTAGTTTTGACGCCCTAAAGCTGTTTAACTAGTGCATTTTTTATATCTAATTTGATCATTAAATAAAATACAATATAAAGTTACTATGGCATGTTGTTTATCACTGCAAACCTTTTTTATGTTTGTAAAAAGTTCAAAATCACTGAAGTTTTGTACTTAAGTAAACTGACCCTGGAGGCATCCATTGTTGTTTAAAGTCATATAAAATGACGCCTTTTCATTGGGTGGTTATTTTTAAAGGATATTTCACTGTAATGCAATATGTACAGCAAAAGAAGTTTTTAAATGAGCTAACATTTAATGTAACAACATTGTGAAAACTTAAAATTATGTTTTATTTCATATAAAACTGTCCATTATTTGGGAATGCCATACACCCTGGCAGTCGTTTTAATAGGTGCACCTGTCTCTTTAAGCTTGAATGTATTTACCAATAAGCTTGATGAATAGCATCTGCTTTTGGCTTACAGAGCTGAAAAATATATCTAAAAAGAAAGGTGTTGTAAAGATATGTATATGTTGATTTAAGAAATGATTTTTTTCTTTCTTTTTTAAACTTTATATACAATAATCAACCCATTATGAATTTTACTCAGTATCAATTAAAAACCAATTAACGTTTTCAAACAATATAAGCTGTACACCTTTCGCAACAGTGAATATTAAAGGCACTTGACACTCATTAGACATTTTAAAATGGAGGACAGAAACAGAAAAGGGCAGGTCAAGATTTTTCAAAGGCTGTATTTGCAAAATTAAGGCTTGCATAAACATTGATTGATTTTGCATTAGTAAAAACATGAAAAAATACAGTAAATTTGATAAAGGTGAAATATTTTTAGTGAAATGTCTCTGTCTTTCATGGTTGCAGTGCAGTCAGCAAATTATGACGTCATACGAGGTCGTTTTCACCAATTCTTAGGTCAAAACAAAAATGGCGTCAAAATAGATGAGCGTCAAAACACATGACCTGACGTACAAGATTTTAAGCAAGAGGCGATGAAAAATGGCCTATGAATTAGTTTTTGACACATAATACAAGATGTAAGACAAGCCTAATCATTAAAGTATAATTTAGCACATAAAACTAATTTTTGAAAGATGAAAATAACCATTTTGACGCGTTCTTTAGTAATGTATACATGCAGATGTTTTCCGACGAACTCCGTGACAGTTATCATATGAACTCCTGAACAAGTTATCATAAGAACTCCATCATTCGTGTTACAGTTCCTCCCCCGTGTTTCAATAAACCATCGAAAAGCATGTAATAAAGTCATATATAAACTTAATCGGTGATGTTACATACTTTTTCAAAAATTATAAATATCTACGTACTGTACTGTACTGTATGTATAATACATGTAAATTATGCTCTTCAAAATGTTTTCAGGTCAATTAAGCCCTCACTGTTCATGTACATGTAAATGTATAATCAAGTGACCCTTGATTTGTGTAATAACTTACTATGGTCTTGGACGGTCTTTGAAGTCTGGCAGAGACCGTCGACTTTGCGGAGACCGTCGATTCGTAGGTCCTGATGAGACCGGAAACCATAGGTCACCGTGATCATGACGTGACATCCCGAGTAAGCTCCCTTTGATAAATGTCACCATTTGTAGTCTAACGATTCAATCAATCTGCAGTATACTGTATTTCCGACGTAAGTAGTTAAAATAAACATACAAAAGAGAAATGGAATCTCTAAATAACGCGCAAAACTACAAAATGAAAGTGTCGCAAGATCCGTTTAGTTGAAAATGTATGTACCCCCACCAGACCCGGAAATTATCAGATTTCTTTTTATTTCCCCTCCTTATTTATTTTATATATGTATGTGGTGTGGCGGAAGTGATTAGGCCCATTTGTGAAGAATCTCAAAAAATGTGACTTTATCAAAAAAGTATTGTTTATAGGCCTATATCGATAAAAAGTTTGAAACTCGATCAGTTCTAGATTTTTTTTTCAATTTCAGACTTGAGCTGGAGAAGAATCAAGAAATGAAGAAAAAGAACATTGTTATCACAGGTTGGTTGTGATCTTTTAGCTTACCTGAGGACAAAATGCTCAGAGTAGAGCTATCATGATAGCTGTCTGTCATGCAGTGTGGGTTAAAATTGTGGGTAATATCTGACCCCCATCATGCTTCATCTGCTGTCTTCTCAATATCCACCATTTTTTTAAACAACATCACATGAACTATGTGGTAGATATTAACTTCACAAATATAAACCTCAGATGAATCTCTATGAATGATTTATAAATGGACTTGTAAATAAGAATACAAGTCTAATGTATCTTTGAAAAACCTAGAGCTTAGGAAATTAATTGTCATGCTTGCTTTGTGAATTTCTTCCAAAGTTCCTTGGGGGGACAGTAGGTGACAGTTAATTACCTTTGATAAATGTCTTAATTTTTTTGTGGCTTAAATATTTCTCATGACTATGATCATGATTCTTACTTAACATAACTTTATTCTATTCTGTGACTGATTGAATTTACGAAGCCTTACTACTTTAAACCTGTAAATAATTATTGACATTTTGCCTTGTTTATGTTGTCATTAAATTTGCAAGTTGTAAATACCGGACAATTAGGAGAACAATACAGCAGTCACATAATTACCCATTGATAGGGAAATCCATCTGTTCCTAAAATTTTATACAGGGTACTTCAAAAGAAACTTCATTACCAAAAGAATGTGTGTGTTTGTTAGGATTATTTTACATTTTTCTGAAACAATGCCTTCCATATTTTGATAGTCCTCTACGATAACCCTCTACACAATTTACTATATTTGTTCCAGTCTTTTGGACAAGATAGCCATCAAAAGCTAAAAATAGAAATGATATACTTCTCAACAGCTTGATATTTGAAGAAATCATCAGATGGTCTATCACAAAATTTACTAAAATCTTGAGTCTTAGAATGTTTTTTACAACCTTGTAAAAGATAAGATAGAAATGAGAATGTTTCTGAACTTAGGTGTTAGGAAAATATTTCCAGGATTTTAAGTGAAATTGATCATTTATATGAAATTAAAACTGCTGCAAGTACAGTCAATAAGATTTTTTACATCCTTAAGGATTTGGACCATTTGGAGAGCACAAAGTTAATGCAAGTTGGGAATGTGTGAAACAGCTTAAAGAGGAGGGGCTTGGAGAGGATATTAACATACATATTTATAACCTACCTGTGGAGTATAGTACAGTGAAAAGACAGGTGCCTCAGATATGGGACAATCATAAACCAGAGGTAATAATGATTGTATAATAGTTGACAATAATACACCCAGATAAAATCCCAATACTATAGATATGTTAACATGAGTGATGTTGACAAAACTTCATGCACTCCACCACTGTTTTACCACAGACTTTAATTACAAGGATTGGAAACTCCCAGTTAACCATATATAAACGCTTAAATATCTTGTCAGGTACGTGATAGAGGTACATTAATTTTATCAATAATTTGCTGGCACTAAGCGTAAATGCCAATACGATAGTTTCCAAACCTTGTTAATTAAGTCCATGGTTTTATGGTGAACCAGATAAAATTCTATGGAACAAATTCAAGGCACTTGTAAAAATATACATTGTTATAATCTGTTATATTATTAGATTGATTTCCCACTTTGCTGTCTTCAAGTAAGTTAATAACATTATTTGACATGGGGAATGATACATTCTACTCAATATAGGACATTTTTCTGGTAATATATCATGTAACATTACAATCCTGTACGATGCTATGTTACATTCTGCAATTAGTTATATTAAGATGTAAATTTAAATATGTAACAAAATGCTTTTAGGTTTCATTTGTTTTTGTAAAAAAAATCATACCACTCTGTTTTAAACTTGAGATTATTATTTTCACTGTAGATGGGCATGCTCAGAAATGAGCTTTTGTAATAGCATAATGCCTGACATCAGTCTGTCCCTGTGTTGTATATTCTACATGTATGTTGTTATACACAATTTCTGTATGTAAAATATTCTCTGAAACTAGGGCTGAAACAAACAACCAAACTGGAGGGTTAGTGATAATCTTATTCAGATACAGATACAGATATTTGACTTTCCTCATATCTCAAGATATGATTCCCAAACTTTTGTAATTGTGTTCTTACAGTAATTATTTGTTAAATTTCAATATTAACATCTTAATTATTTGTTAAATTCTAATGATAAAATCTTTATTCTAACTATATTTAAGTAATAAAACACGCATATAAATCATTAGATTTTATTGTTATTATTTGTTGTTATTTGTAGCAGAAATCTTATTTGTCCAAACTTAGCTGTAATTGCAATCTATATCTTAGATGATTGAATTTTGAAAATAAAAAAGCACATTCAAAATTTTCAAAATGAATTTTATTTTAGACTTGATCATTGAAGCTGTATATTTATATCAATGGTAAAACACAAGCAGATCATGGATGCTAAACATTAGCCCTGTCATGAGGGGTCACTAAGCTTAAATAACTTCATTTAGAAAAAAAAAAACATTGGAATCACCTTATGTACAACTACATGTACTTAGCCTAAAGCTTAGATATGAGGCATTTAGTATTGTTTACCTATACATACATCTAATAAATCAATTTCTTCAGAATTGTGCCTTTGCTAATTTGTCACTGGGAGGGACAAGGGGTTTCACTGGCAATGTGATAAGTTGAATTAAAGATACATGTTGATACTTAAAAAACAAAACGAGCAGTCTTATCATTATTATTATCACCAGTTATATGATTTCAAACTTTGATTAAATGATCTGAACATTTTATACTTGCAGTTGGTTGTTCATGTTGGTGTGTCTAGTATAGCAAAGGAGGTCACTCTGGAACAACTGGCACATAATGATGGATATGATAGAAAAGATGTTCAGGTAAATATGTTTTGAAAGATAGGTGGGTAGTTGTACTTTGTTTCATTATTATTCACATATCACCATAATAGTTCTTTGTAACTTTGAGTTTTATAATGGTCACTTATTTTAACTACACAATAAAGAATGGGGCATGTGTCATTTTGTCATTATTTATTACTGATTAATTTTTTGTCATATTTGGACTATTTTAACTTCATATTGAGTTGTTCACATATGATCCTTGATCTTTGGATAACATTCACCCAATAAATAGAAAATGCTGAGAGCTTGCATTTTTTATTGTTGAAAATTTGATTTTGTGTCATTGCCATGTTTCATGTGACTTTCATTTAATACAATGTACTTAGTTCATGAGGTGACCATAGGGGTATTGCCATGTTTATTGTTACTTTCATATTATATTTAACTCACGAGGGGACCATGGGGACATTGCCATGTTTCTTTTTACTTTCATATTATATTGAACTCATGAGGGGACCATGGGGGCATTGCCATGTTTCTTGTTACTTTCATATTATATTTAACTCATGAGGGGACCATGGGGGCATTGTCATGTTTCTTGTTACTTTCATATTATATTTAACTCATGAGGTGACCCTAGGGGCATTGCCATGTTTATTGTTACTTTCATATTATATTTAACTCATGAGATGTCCATAGGGGCATTGCCATGTTTCTTGTTACTTTCATATTATATTTAACTCATGAGGGGACCATATGGGCATTGCCATGTTTCTTGTTACTTTCATATTATATTGAACTCATGAGGGGACCATGGGGACATTGCCATGTTTCTTGTTACTTTCATATTATATTTAACTCATGAGGTGACCATAGGGGCATTGTCATGTTTCTTGTTACTTTCATATTATATTTAACTCATGAGGGGACCATAGGGGCATTGCCATGTTTCTTGTTACTTTCATATTATATTTAACTCATGAGGGGACCATAGGGGCATTGCCATGTTTCTTGTTACTTTCATATTATATTTAACTCATGAGGTGACCATAGGGGCATTGCCATGTTTCTTGTTACTTTCATATTTTATTTAACTCATGAGGGGACCATAGGGGCATTGCCATGTTTCTTGTTACTTTCATATTATATTTAACTCATGAGGGGACCATAGGGGCATTGCCATGTTTATTCTTACTTTCATATTATATTTAACTTATGAGGGGACCATGGGGGCATTGCCATGTTTATTGTTACTTTCATATTATATTTGACTCATGAGGGGACCATGGGGGCATTGCCATGTTTATTGTTACTTTCATATTATATTTAACTCATGATGGGACCATGGGGAAATTGCCATGTTTCTTGTTACTCTCATATTATATTTACCTCATGAGGGGGCCATGGGGGCATTGCCATGTTTCTTGTTACTTTTATATTATATTTAACTCATGAGGGGACCATAGCTGTATTGCCATGTTTCTTGTTTCTTTCATATTATATTAACTCATGAGGGGACCATGGGGACATTTGCCATGTTTCTTGTTACTTTCATATTATATTTAACTCATGAGTTGACCATAGGGGTATTGCCATGTTTCTTGTTACTTTCATATAATATTGAACTCATGAGGTGACCATAGGGGCATTGCCATGTTTCTTGTTACTTTCATATTATATTTAACTCATGAGGGGACCATAGGGGCATTGCCATGTTTCTTGTTACTTTCATATTATATTTAACTCATGAGGTGACCCTAGGGGCATTGCCATGTTTCTTGTTACTTTCATATTTTATTTAACTCATGAGGGGACCATAGGGGCATTGCCATGTTTCTTGTTACTTTCATATTATATTTAACTCATGAGGGGACCATAGCTGTATTGCCATGTTTATTCTTACTTTCATATTATATTTAACTTATGAGGGGACCATGGGGGCATTGCCATGTTTATTGTTACTTTCATATTATATTTGACTCATGAGGGGACCATGGGGGCATTGCCATGTTTATTGTTACTTTCATATTATATTTAACCTCATGAGGGGACCATGGGGAAATTGCCATGTTTCTTGTTACTCTCATATTATATTTACCTCATGAGGGGGCCATAGGGGCATTGCCATGTTTCTTGTTACTTTTATATTATATTTAACTCACGAGGGGACCATAGCTGTATTGCCATGTTTCTTGTTACTTTCATATTATATTAACTCATGAGGGGACCATGGGGACATTGCCATGTTTCTTGTTACTTTCATATTATATTTAACTCATGAGTTGACCATAGGGGTATTGCCATGTTTCTTGTTACTTTCATATAATATTGAACTCATGAGGTGACCATAGGGGCATTGCCATGTTTCTTGTTACTTTCATATTATATTTACCTCATGAGGGGACCATGTGGGGCATTGCCATGTTTCTTGTTACTTTCATATTATATTTAACTCATGAGGTGACCATAGGGGCATTGTCATGTTTCTTGTTACTTTCATATTATATTTAACTCATGAGGGGACCATAGGGGCATTGCCATGTTTCTTGTTACTTTCATATTATATTTAACTCATGAGGTGACCATAGGGGCATTGTCATGTTTCTTGTTACTTTCATATTATATTTACCTCATGAGGGGACCATGGGGGCATTGCCATGTTTATTGTTACTTTGATATATTTAACTCATGAGGGGACCATGGGGGCATTGCCACGTTTCTTGTAACTTTCATATTATATTAACTCATGAGGGGACCATGGGGGCATTCTATGTTTCTTGTTACTTTCATATTATATTTAACTCATGAGGGGACCATGAGGCATTCTATGTTTCTTGTTACTTTCATATTATATTTAACTCACGAGGTGACCATAGGGGCATTGTCATGTTTCTTGTTACTTTCATATTATATTTACCTCATGAGGGGACCATGAGGGCATTGCCATGTTTCTTGTTACTTTCATATTATATTTATCTCATGAGGTGACCATGGGGGCATTGCCATGTTTATTGTTACTTTCATATTATATTTAACTCATGAGGGGACCATGGGGGCATTGCCATGTTTCTTGTTACTTTCATATTATATTAAACTCATAAGAGGACCATATGGGCATTGTCATGTTTCTTGTTACTTTCATATTATATTAAACTCATGAGAGGACCATAGGGGCATTGCCATGTTTATTGTTACTTTCATTTAAGTTTTAATGAGGGGACCATGTCTGCAATTTCTTTACCGAATATTTGTATATCTGTCAATTCGTTGTACATTTTAACATTTTTTAGAACTCAATGGATCTTTGATATTAACCTTCCAATTTTTTCATGAATGGGTTGAGAAATTAAAAAAATGAGCTACAGCCTTCTTATTGAAAGCCAAAATGTCCTACCTTACTCTGTCTTTTCCCTGTGTCTTCTTTATACCAGTGTACAGAACATTTACATACTTTACAACTTGAATATATTCATGGTATTACAATGTCTGTCTATATTTATGTTAGAGATAGCATCTTTGACTTCAAAAAGTTTTAGTCTATGGAATGAATCTTGAAGTCAGGAATTTGCATGGGCACTAAAATGCTTATTATACCTTCACAAAGTTTTGGATGGGGATAGGTATATAGGAGTGCTTATGGGTCAGTTTTATAGTTTCCCCCAAGAGTAATATGTATTCAAGGTCACTGTTACTAGAAATAAAGAAAACGGTTTCCGGAGGATAATTATAGTTACGAATGAGATTTTAAAATCAAACTTTGTATAAAGCAAATATAAAGTATGTATAGACCTAACATGGTCATCATGATACTGTTCTTCAGCTTTATTGTTAAAGTTTATGAGTACTGTACATGTATATGATGACTATAGAGTTACATTAGTTCTATAATAAGTTAACAAGGAAGTTTCACTTGTATATATTTGACAGAATTGCAGTGCAGACAACTTATGCTGTGTGGAGGGGGCTGATGATTGTATAGTAGCAGGACTAGATATGGCTAAAATATGTGATAAAGTGAATAATGCAGGAACCAAAGCAAAAGCTGTAATATCTCATGATCCTGGGAGGTAGGTCTTTATGCTACTCAGTTAGTTTTGTTTTAAAAATGCCTCTCACTGGCTGTTTTTTTCTTTGTGTTTTATTATTCTGTCAAACATGTTAACTTAATAAAGCCATGCCAAAGTCAAGACTAATAAAGAAATAATGTAACTAATAGGATGAGACATTTATATCATATGATTCTCCTATTTCCATAGTAATCTTTTGGCTTAATCTAGTAGATTTTGATGAAACACAATAGGAATGATCCATAGGTGTCTCTTTAAAATCATTGCTAAAACTGTTTCAGTATGCTGAACAAATGACTGCCAGAGCTTAAAGAACATTTAACCAATATCTCCTTTTCAATTAGTATATGGGTATATTTTTTATGAAACTCAAAAAAGTAATTGCCTGAAATAAAGTTTTGGTTGTCCCAGTTATAAGACTTCTTGAGTCATTGTACAGCAATAACATCTTTCAGCAATGCTCAAATTTATAGATAAGTTTGACCCTCTTGTGGCTGAGGGGTTTATGGGTTGAGGTATCAGAATTGCAGCCACCGTTTATTTCTGCGTGACAAATTACTGGAGTCTCTGCATCTCTTAGGTTCAGCAAGTGAGGTGGTTTTCAAGTTTGTAACACTTGAGTTTAGCCAAAATCACCCTTCCTGTTTTTTTACCGGACATCCGGGACGTTATGGCATGTATGATGCTGTTTTGGCAATATATAACCTAAATTGTGTTGGTGTGTAGTAAAACGAAACCAAACAAACCAACAAAAGATAAGTTTCACAGTTCATGTATATTTATATTGTCAGACTGGCCTTTTTCAGGGACAGAAATAAATTTTTTTAAAAGAATCTGGGAATAACATTAAAAGATAAAACACTTAAGTGATAATATATTTGAATTTGGAGCCTGAAGACCTTAAACTGAATACATTTGTAAATAATTTAATTTTCTTTGTTTTACAGGTATTTATGTGACTTTTCATACTTTGCATCGCTACACATAAACAAAAACCGGTCAGCTTTTATTCATGTACCACCCCTCAATCAGCCACACAGTTTGAAGGAATTGGTTGAAACGCTCAAAGTTGTTATTTCCTGCATGTTAGAGGAAACGGAATTAAATTCCTGAAGTTAAAATGGATTTTATTATCTGATTTGTGTAATCATTTACTGGATTAAATGGTGATAATCAGACATTTTGATAAGCAGGAACAGTTTTTATGTGATATATGACTGTCAACATCCATGTTTTTATTTATGAATCATGTTTATTTAAGGTTTTGTTCTCTTTCACATTTTTATAATATTGTAAAGATATTGTTATTTACATGTATTTATATTTATTTTTTATTTTGTTTATTTTGAAACCTATAATTTGTACAGCAATTTACTGTTAGCAATTTTTCATGTGAATTATTTTCATAAAACTAGGTAAATTAGGTATCAGACAAGTGGAGAACAACACACATTAAACACTGAAACTACAGGCCTTGGTTTTCTACAATACCTTCATCAGGTTTATAACAGTATTCATAATTTGATTCCACTAAGTAATAAAAGACGGTACAAGTTTATTTGTATGTTAGTTAAATAGAACAAAAACAGTCTGTGAAATGACTTAATACTGATTTCAATTTTTTTCATGTATATTTATTGGTTACTGGCAGAAACAATTTGATTCACTAAATTGGTCCTTTTCATCATCGCGCATGGTTGAATCTCTGATATGCATAATTAAGGTTCTTAGATAGGCGATAATGATGTAAATAGGTCACATATCTATACTTGATTTTCTTTTTCTCCTTTGAAGATTGAAATCTTTTTAAACAATTTTTCAATCTATCCCTTATTCTTTTTTTCCCCATTTTTGGGGTTTTTTAAAAACCCGGGGATAGGTTAATCCATCTGTTACTGTGACAGGGTTCTGTTACCTTGATGATTATTTCATTACTTTCCATATGTAAAAATTCTTATTTAAGCCCTTTTTCAATGCCTCTGGTACTTTGCGAGGAGGGTTTACTGTAGATACCGCAGTTTCTTTTAAATGCAACTTAATTTACCAGGGAGTTTTTACCAATATCTTTGAGTAGGTTCCCATAGTCTGACATGACTGTTTTGTCAAGAGTTCAGTATTCACTATTGTAAACTGGCGATTTATATATAGAATATCCTAGGTCGAGACTTAAACCTACAAGAGTAGGGGCGGAAGTTTCTACTACGTAGAAATTGTGTTGATACTTGAATCTCTGTATGTACATTGCAACGTGATCTATCCATGAACTTTGATGAGATCCCCTAAATATAAAGTAAGTTTACTAGTATGTCTGGGATCTCAAGTCAAGAGGGTAATTAAATCCTAGCTGATTATGATATTGTGATTGCCTGTCACCAATGCTCATTGTCGCCATTTGCTGCTGACAGTACTTGAAGTTGGATGTCTCTACCTTTCTGGTTTACCCATATAAGAGGTACGCATTTTTTCTCCTGTTTCGCTTTTAAGGGTCCCTTGAAAATTTATTTGACATGTCTGTAGAATCTGTCCCATGGCCATGTTTCAGGCAGATTTGAACTATCCAAGTACATTCTGGGCGGTGTTATTCCAGACGTGTCCCTGTTTATTTATTAGCTCACCTGTCACAAAGTGACAGGGTGAGCTTTTGTGATCGCTTTTCTTTCGGCGTCCGTCCGTCGTCCGTCCGTAAACTTTTACTTTAAATGACATCTCCTCATAAACCACTAAGCCAATTTCATCCAAACTTCACAGGAATGTTCCTTTGGTGGTCACCTTTAAAAATTGTTCAAAGAATTTAATTCCATGCAGAACTCTGGTTGCCATGGCAACCGAAAGAAAAAACTTTAAATATCTTCTTTTAAAAAACCATAAGAGCTAGAGCTTAGATATTTGGCATGAAACATCTTCTAGTGAGTGTCTACCAAGTTTGTTCAAATAAAAGCCCTGGGGTCAAAATTGGCCCCGCCCCAGAGGGTCATTGATTTTCCCTATATGCATATAGTAAAAACTAAAAAAATCTTCTTTTAAAGAACCCAAAGAGCTAGAGCTTAGATATTTGGCATGAAACATCTTCTAGTGAGTGTCTACCAAGTTTGTTCAAATAAAAGCCCTGGGGTCAAAATTGGCCCCGCCCCAGAGGGTCATTGATTTTCCCTATATGCATATAGTAAAAACTAAAAAAATCTTCTCTTAAAGAACCAAAAGAGCTAGAGCTAAGATATTTAGCAATGAAACATGTTCTAATGGGTGTCTACCAAAGTTTGTTCAAATAAAAGCCCTTGGGTCAAATTGGCCCCGCCCCGGGGGTCATTAATTTTCCCTATATGCATATAGTAAAAACTTAAAAAATCTTCTTTTAAAGAACTCAAAGAGCTATTGCTAAAGATATTGAGCATCAAACATGTTCTAATAGGTGTCTACCAAAGTTTTTGTTCAAATAAAAGCCCTGGGGTCAAAATTGGCCCGCCCCAGGGGTCATTGATTTTCCCTATATGCATATAGTAAAAACTTAAAAAATCTTCTTTTAAAGAACCCAAAGAGTTAGAGCAAAGATATTTAGCATGAAACATGTTCTAATAAGTGCTCTACCAAGTTTGTTCAAATAAAAGCCCTTGGGGTCAAAATGGCCCCGCCCCCAGGGGTCATTGATTTTTCCTATATGCATATAGTAAAAACTTAAAAAGTCTTCTTTTAAAAACCCAAAGAGCCATGGCTAAGATATTTAGCATGAAACATGTTCTAATGGGTGTCACCAAGTTTGTTCAAATAAAAGCCCTGGGGTCAAAATTGGCGCCCGCCCCGGGGTCATTGATTTTCCCTATATGCATATAGTAAAAACTTAAAAAGTCTTCTTTTAAAGTACCCAAAGAGCTAGAGCTAAGATATTTAGCATGAAACATGTTCTAATGGGTGTCTACCAAGTTTGTGCAAATAAAAGCCCTTGGGTTAAAATTGGCCCTGCAACGTTGTGGGGGGGGGGTGGGGGGGCCTATATACAGGTGAGCGACCTCAGGGCCATCATGGCCCTCTTGTTAATAAAACACGTTAGCTGGTCAACGACTGACAGATAATTCCAGACAGGTTACATGTATAGACTAGCTATAGTCTGTTCTAAGATATTATAATATTAACAATGTTTATTTAAACATGTTTATTGTTTAGTTTATTTATTTAATCATGGCAAATTACATGCATGTGATTAAAAACTTCAAAGGATATAAAAGATAAACAAAAACATGAGCACAAGTGCATACAAACACTTATGGAACAATGTGAAACCAGGTACGTATATACGTACCTGGTGAAACATATATACAGATTCCCTCAGTAAAACAAAGAAAAAACCCAACTATATTATAATATGTAGTCTAACTTTTGAGAATGAGTTATTATTTAATTCTTTGTAATAAAAGCTTACAAAATAAAGCAAGTGTAATGAGTTTATTTTTATTTTTACAATTTATAAGTTCCTTTAACGTATGAGACTTGGGTGACTTTGAATGAATTATGAACATATGAAAACAAACAATGAATACAAGCTTAACATTTGTTTTAACAACAAAAGCAATTCGAGTCCCATCCTCCGGATCGTCCTACATTATCACACTGGCCATAGCTTTCGCAGAAGCGGTGGGTCTATCGCAGCGGCGGTGGAGTATTCGTCGCAGAAGCGGTGGATAAAATATGGCCGTTTGCTGTTGTCGGTAAGTATATGACTGAATTTTGTTTTATGTTTTACAGGAAACACTCAGTGAGACTGGAGCCCATAAATGTACTCTTTCAACCTATTAAACGCACACGGTGCAATTCATTGCCGTTTATGCAAACACTTCTGTACAGTTTGATGAGGGGACGCCACTTTTGCCTTATTTTGGTTAAAACACATACAAATGTGTGCAAAACGACCCAATAATACAACGGTGTCACATCGAATGAATGATACTTTCACAAATTAACCATAATTTGGAAAATTGGGAAATTATTATTTCATATTTATAAAATAAATAACAAAAAATGTTTTCGTCGCAGACGGCGGTGGATTCGATTGCAACGCAGTGCGGTGGGCCCGATACCATTTTTGTATATTTTAAGAAATTTTACTTGACGTAAGGCACTTTTCAGTTTAGTACAGCCCTTTTCTAACTTTGACATCTGAGAAACGTGCTTATTTGATGTTTAAAACGATATTTATTGTTATATATACGCTCGTACAAATATATGTCCGAGGTCCGCTTTCATTTTCCTTCTATTGAAAATTACTTCAGCCATCATTATCATAGAATAATCCACGTTCAACCTTAGACTTAAAAAGACCGTTAGTTCCAGGTTCAACATTTTTGTCATACAGACATATAAGAGATACTCGTACAGATAAACAGAACATGCTTCTTGAATACGAAAAAACCTCAGTTGTGTTATATTACCATATACTGAGAGCACCAATTTAAATACATTTTATGTTTATAGCGTAAGAGTTATTTCAGGAAAAGTTTTCTCTATTACTTTTTTTGTAAAGACCTACGCATTTAGTAGCTTTAGTTTTTCTTCCTTTTACTTAAATTGTGACATTTATCGGAAAAAAAATGGTTTCAAATATGGTATATGTTTAATATGAAATGAAATAAAAAAAGTAATAGAAATATTTTATGGAATTCAGTCTTTCTTTGAAAATGTACACAAATATAGTGAAGAACATAACAAGCGGGGAAACAAAGATTTTTCAGACTTACATTTAAGTTATATGACCTTGAAATAACCACAATTAAGAAAAAATCAAATTCACGTACAGGAAATGAGATCAGTGACCCCTTAGTTTTTTTTTCGCTCTTAATGTTTATGTTATCATATTCAAGCATCATGTTTAATTTAAAGAATATAATTATATTGAACCTCCTTTTGCGTGTTTATAATACTGCACATTTGTTACGTCACTTTTCATTGGATAATCGTGACGTTTATATACAATGTACTTTTTTATATATATGGCTGCCGTCGATGTACGAAATTATCGCATTTTTTTCTAACAAAAATGCTTGATGTATTATGAGTGCGTTATAAATAAATCCAACATATTATATGGTCGTATATAAACGGTTGTTCGCAACATTAATAGCTATTGGAATTCTTTATAATGCTTGTGCATGTGTGTATGAATCAGAAAATAAAGTTACAAATAAACCAAAAATCTCTATAATTAAATAAACGTCTCGATTTTCCAATGAAAAATTACGTTACAAACATGCAGTGTTATAAAGTTTATATATTTATATACACGACTGCTGTTTATTTAATAAGAAATTGACTGTATGTTTATGTATTATATTTTCAAAC